AAAATTTGTTGATATTTTTATCTCATATATGAAATAGAAAAAAAACTACAAAAAAAAAGATGGATCCTTATCTGTTTTTTTTTCATTCTGTAGATATATTGTGATACCTCTTATTCAGTATGTGCATTGGCGTTAGATATTCCGTGTTATTCTTACATTAGGTATCTTTTATTTAAAAAAATTTACAATATCATCATAGGTTGACAAAATACATATCAATTAATTCAGATAACATAACTTCTCAAACGCACTTTAATATTAGATAGTCTATTTTTTGTTCTTTACATGCACATGTGATACGAACACTCGTGATATTATACTTCACTAATATTATGATTATATTTTTGTAGGCGGATAGATAAATAAAATATTACATAAAGTGACCTGGTAAAATTTAATGGTCCTTGGACAGCTGTTCTATACTATCTATCTAGTCAACATGTCTAGATGTAAGTCAAATATATTATCATCTTTTTTAATTCAATGTAATTATAATAAATATTGAGTTTATACTATCAATAGAGTCAAAAATCAACCATTTCAATTCATAGTTATAGTTATTACAACGACACTTGAAATTTTTTATTGCATAATTCTAACGCAACAATTGCTTTTTCTTTTGTGGATATTTTGTATTAAAATATTGTCTGAAAAAAAATTTAAGCTATTCAATTCTATTGTATTGCAATTCATGAGTGAATCATCATGAAATTTCGTTTAAAAACCATAGGAAACACTCTTCAACTTGAAAAATATACCATCTTGTTTCAATTAATTCACATCATCGAATTTTATACTAAATCCAATTCTAATAGATTATATTTTTAATACTAATATCAATAAATATTAATGATTATATATATAAAGCAATCATAAGATTGTAATCCGATTAGATTTATTTTATCTTATTTTTCTAATGATAAAATCAGATAAATGACGCAAATATCGAGTCACATGATAAATATTAAATATTTATTTGTTACTTTGATTAATTAGGACTAAGTTACTAAAATATAAAATATTTCGAAAAAAAACTAGAGTGATAAACTACGAAGTAATAAATCAAGGTACTTGAACTTCGATACCAAACTTTTTATGAAGAATTAGATTAAAGTATCCTGAGGCAAACATATTTCTCTTATCTTTGTTAAGTATTTATGATAGAAATAAAAACCACTAAATTCACATGATGAGTTATATACTTTCAAATTCGATTACTGATAATTACCAAGACGATAAGATGTAAAATCGTTAGTCAATAATTCATTTCTCTTTTCTTTTTATGCACAATCATAAAATATAGGATTCAATAAATAGCTTGTACGAAAGAAGAGTTTAACAACAGAAGTTTACTAGCATAATGGCATCAACATTTTCACCTCAACCAAATGGTGACAATACAATTAATGAACAACATTCAGAACATCGTTTAACACCACATAGACGACAATCAAATGATGTACCAAGTAATTTCATACTTGGACGACCTCATACAGGTCCAAGTCGTGCTAATACAAATCAACGATTCACAAATGGTGGAATGAATTATAGTCAAACGACAGATGCCGAGCATAGCTTAGCTCTATTGGAACATTTATCAACTGATTTGGCTAATTTACTCAATCGAACAGATATCAGTGATTGCTTTCTCAATGTAAAAGGTACGAAGAGAGAAATTTTTCATTTATAGAAACTATCTTATTGTTTATAGGTACTTTCATGGCTGTTCATAAATGTATTCTTGCTGCACGTTCAAATGCTTTTGCTGGTAAGGAAAAAAAACTTCTAATATAAAAATCTAAATTTAATTATTTTAGCTGTTATTTCGGGCAATTTCAATCGACTTGAAACAAGTGTCAGAGATCAACTTGAAACATTAGATCATAAAGGAAAATTAGTTATTGTTATTAATAAAACTGATCCAGAAATCATGAAACAAATTGTTGTTTTTTTGTATACTGGTAGATGCGAACTAAATGAAGGCAATGGTAAATATTTTTTTGATAAAAATAAAATTCTCATTCATTTTTTTCTATTTAAAAGCATTTGATCTTCTTGATGCTGCTGGTCGATATGATATCAAAGATCTTAAAGTACATACTGGTCGTTGTAAGTTTCTTGAAATCAATGTTTTCCTTTTTTGAATAATAATAAATTTTAGTTCTCGCAACTCGTATTGATGTAAATAATGTTTTATTGTTGCTTAAAGCAGCATATAAACATGATAATAAATTGGTTAAACAACGTTGTATTGAATTTTTTATTAATAATGCTAAAGAAATTATGAATATACATGAATTATGGAAACAATTTGCTGAAGAACAACAAGCAATTGTTGCTGAACTTCTACATTGGCTTGTTAACAAAGAATTATTCTATTCTGAAAAACCTCAATGGGAAGCAAATTCACGTTGGTAATTAAACAAGAAATACATCCACACATCATTTTAACAAAATAAACGAGAAGAAAAAAAAAAAACTCTACGTAGATAAAATAATATTTTTTACATATAATATATTCTTGTCTTTTTTTCTCTAATATATAAAATAAAATTGAAAAATAGCCCACCGGATATTTGCATTATTAAATAGGTAAATGTACTTGACCATAAAAATCAACTTCATCATCAAACACACTTCCGTGTTCTTCATCTCCATCAAGCTAAATAGACATAGAATAAAGATTTTAATATTCGAAAAAGAATGATAATTACTTCAGTGAGTTCGCGTTCAGTAAAAATACATGGAAGACACCATTTACGAAATGGGACAAGTAAAACAAGAATGAATGGAAATAGAAAAGCAAAACTTGTCACTTTTATTGTTATTAATAAACCAGCAGCAATTATTTGCACAATTGTATATGTAAAACGTTTGATTTGACGAACCTAAATATAGAATTTTTGTTTTTTGAAAATAATTCAATTATGAATATACAGACTCGTCTTAAATATCCCACATTAGGATGATACTTTGCAGGAATAAACATCATTTTAACTCGACTAAATAATTGTGTACCAGGAATAGAGACAATACCAAAATATAAAAATATACCAAATAGAGCAGCAACTGGAATTTTACGTATAATTGGTGCGGCAAATATTGTACAACCAATAAGAATATGTACACCTATATTAGTTAAACGTTGATCTTTTATATCAATTAAACGAGGTTTTTCTCCTGGTGCATGTGTTTTACTATATTTTGATAAACTAGCGACATGGGCAATACTTCGTACAGGTGCTGCACATATCCATGGAAGACCAAAAAGTCCACTGATAGATATTAGAACACCTGAAGATAAGAAATAGAGAATAAGCTAAATCTTTCGATTTCTCCTACCTGCTATCAGAATATCTAAATGATAACCAGTTCCTTTTATAATTTTTGATGAATGAACACATTTTAGCTTTGATTGAATCATAATACTAAAAAGAAGAAGAAGAAGAAAATCATATTTTTATTTATTATTACTTATAAATATTACCTTGTTAATTCGACTTCAAAAAACAGCACCACAGAAATAAGTATAGCAGGAAATGACGATGCAAAATAAAGCCAAAACGGTAAACGTTTTCGAAATGGTGATATGAACCATATATTTCCACGTTCTCTATCACTTGGTCGAATAGATTTTGGTACAGTTATTTTCTATTTTGAAATAAATTTTTATATTTTTTAATTTTTTATTCAGAAATAATCACCTGTGTTAAACTATGACCACCAGCATTTTTAGTTATAAACATATCGAACAGCACCATACATATGACAGCAATTGTCATACCAAAATCACTTAATGTTTGTCTTGTCTACGAAATAAATATTAGATATGATTTATTAAATATAAGAAAATAGTATTTACTGCTCGACCAAAAAAATTGCTTCGTCTAAAACGTTTAAGTGCAACAGCTACTAAGCACGTTCCAAGAAGAATAATAAATGAGAGAAGTGCTTTATTTGGTAGATGAGATTCATCGCGTGATATTGATGTATAATTACTTTTTAATAGAGAAGATGATGAAGAAGAAGATGTATAACGTTTAGGTGGTACACAATCATAACATGAATATTTTAACGTAGATGAAAAATTATTCGATAGATTTTCTAATGTAAATGATGTATTTAATAGAGATGTAATATTACATGAACAATTTAATGGATAATCATAATTATAATTAGATCGAACTGGATTTAATTGAAATATCTATGCGAAAAAGATATAGATAAAGAAATTTGAAAAATAGTATAAAATATTTTACTTTATAAAGTTTTTTAAATGGTTCATAAAGATAAATAACAGCAATAATAAGAGCAAAGATTTCTTCAGTAAATCGAGTTACATGACGAATCATAAAACTACCTTCAAATGCTACTAGAATTATGATAAAAAATGTCGTCCATAGACTAACACAACATCGAACTGTCCAAAAATCGGATTGTAATGATTGACATAACTAAATAAACAAAACATACATATATATTTATAAAGATAACATTGTAAAATAGATAATGTATTTCATAATAAAAATACAAGGCTATCACTAATTGAACAATATCAATTCAATTTGAGTTCGTAAAAACATATATTGTGTGTCTATTTTTAATATTCTAACTGTCACTCTTTATCAATACTGAATTAGAATCGTTACGAACAAATTAAGGTCAAGATGCTAGTTCATGTCTCTCAATGATAGATAAGAATTCTGATGTTAAATCTTTATAATTAACTATACTTACATCATAAACCATTTCTTCAAAAACAAGAAATGGTCCCGTTGGTCCTAGAATTAATAATGGTTGTCCACTAACAAATCCAAATAAAAATCCATTGAGAGATGATGCAATTAACATTTCATTAACACCTAATCTATTATTAGTTTTGTCAGCTAGAGAAAAATAATTTTTCAATATTTTTGTTTTTCCGAAAAAAAAATTTCATTTTTACCTATAATACCACCAAAAGTCAGTGCTGGTGCAAGACATGCAATAAACATAAATACAAGACTAACAAAACAATTAAGACTAATAGCATCTAAAAAATCTGATTTGTAATGATCATAACGTCGACGCATTTCTCGACAAACACCACCAAATACAAAACCACTTCGTTTAAAAGGATCTTCATCATGTTTATCACGTGATACAGTTGACATTTGAGCTAGAAAATGAATTATTATTCTATCAATAGACAAGATTTATTTTAATCTACTTACATAATAAAATTTTTGCTGCTACAAATAAAAAGCAAAAAAAAACTATTAAAATTATTTTCATTAAAATTATTTACTTTGTGATTGTTGTTCGGGATCATGTATTCGATCAAGATGTTGAGATTGTAATCTTGTTAAACGTCGTTTTATATTCATTTTTTTCATTTTATTTGTTTCAATTATTGGTAATAATAATTCTTTATCAAAATCACCTGGTGGTAAAACAATTGAATCAGAAAGAAAATCATTGACACCATGTAATAAATCACGACGATCCATTGCTTGATAAGCTGTTTCTCGAAAATCCTTTTTTTATAAATAAAACAATAACATATTTATGTATATATATATATAGAATTATTATTTACAAGTGTACTGAATAATGTACTAAGAGCACGACCAATTTCTAAATATTCTTCCATAGCTGGACCAATAAGTAGGAAAATAAATCGAACTGGTATTGGAACTTCCGTTATATCATCTAGATAAACAACAGTCAAGAATTAAAATAATAAAATGTTTTATGATTTTACTAATAAGTTGGCCTTGTGAAAGACGTACAAATGCCATAACAGGCCTAGTTAAACTTCTTATACTACCAATCAATACTTCCGCACATTCAGCATGTTCTGAAACACATCGCATTACATCGGACTAAAATAAAAAAAGATTGATTTTAAAAATTTTATGAATATATAAATAGATTTTAGTTAATTGACATTATTTATTTTATAATAATAATCTCAAGAGGAAAACAATTGATTGCAATCAAAAGTTATTTATAGATCGATCTTACGACAAAATAATGATTTTTATAATAACAAGAATGTTATCTCGACATAGGAAACTTCCTATAAATTGAGCCAATAGGGATGTATTGATTATAAATACATCGATTAAATATTTTCTTTCTCGTAGACAAGAGTCCAGTAAACATAAACTGTCTGACTTCTTACTTGCTTGATTGTATGTCTGCAGGGTCAAAAATATATCGAACACCGATTTTCCCGAAAACATGTTTCTAGAGGTATTCCGATGCAAGGACTTCGAATCTGAAGTCAGTTTTGAATAAATAATTTACTGGTAGCGAAGACATATCACTTCTACGAGAAAGAGCTGAGGGAGTCTCTAGACGAGCGTTACTTGTACTTAATTATTGAAAAATTTTCAAATTTAATATCAAAAGTTAAGTAGAAAATAGGATTTGATTGAATTGCGTAGATAAATCAAACCTTTAGTGATTTGCATTTATCATGTTATTTAAGGGTAAGAATGTGTAAAGTTCTTAGACAGAATTTCAATCTATTCTCTCTCTCTCGCTCAATATATAATGGAATTACTTTATATGAATTTGCTTCACGAGATTTTTTTGTTGAAAGTTGAGTTGATCGTTGTATTGTAAAACCTTGTGATATAGATGGTCGATGCGGTTGAGTAACATTTTCATTACTATTATTATCTGTATTGTTTGATTCTATTGGTTCTAATGGATGTTTTTTTGTATGTGAATCAGCAGCCATTGGATCCTCGGTATTATCATACTAAAATATATAAATTTTATTAAATAATAACAAAACAACCGACTAACTTTAACGACAAGATTTTTAAGATTTTTCATTAATTCACCATTTGGTATTGAATCGAATAGACTCATTCGTCGACCATGAGTAGTATCAGTACTTATTTGTTCATTTTTTCGAAATGCTAAACTTGCTCGACGTCCTGCTGATGGAGGATAATCCATTGTCGAAGAACGACGTCGAGATGAACGAGCTTCAGGATGTCTACAAAATTAAACTCATTGAAAATCATAGAGTATATAAAATTAATCAATTTATACTTATGAATACTTGTTAAACAACGAAGAATTTCATCTTTTACATCTTTATTCATTTGACCATTTGCAATAGCATCATTAATAATAGCTTCATAAATACATTCAAGTTTTTGTTCTTCAAGATCAAGTAAGACAATACCTATTGTAGAATAAATAAAAGATAGGAAAAAAGTTCATTCATGAAGTAAATCAGAGAAAGAATATCTTCTAATTAATAACTTTTCTTTTAGTTACGATTTATAATAAGTGTCACTTAAAACATACTATCTGTCATAATTGGGAAGGGAATGTTAAGTTTTTTACTTCAATACTAATTTTAGATTCATGTTTCATAAAATGAATAGAAAAAAAAACTTCACACACAATCTGCCCACCATATTGTAATCCTCGACGTAATTCAAGTAAACTATGAAAATTTAAACAACCAATTCGTGGAGCTATAAAAAGATAAAATAAATTAAAAAAAATTTTTTTTTCTTAGAACTAACCCTGCCATCGTTCCATTTCAAAATCATAATCTTCTTCATATCGAATCCATCTATTTATATGAAAATATAAAAAGAAAATTCTTTTATACAACTTTCCTACCTTGCACATTCATGCCATTCATATTCATTATTTTCAATTTGTCTTAACTCTTGTAATTCAATAAATAATTCATTCGGTGTATGATCAACAGACTAACATTTAACGAATAAAAAATAAAGTTAAATTATTTAGTTTAATAAACTTACATATCTCCCTGTATGTGCTCGTTTATGACTAGCTCGTTGAATACTAGCTAAACCAAGACCACGTCGTTTTCCACTACTAGCTAAACTAGTAGAACTAGTTGCTGAAGGAAGTCCAGGAGGTGATAAAGTGGAAGCAGTTGATCTTGATAACAAAAGTTTATTGGGTAATGTTGGTGAACTAGGACAAGAAGTTTGACTATAATAATCTATAAGAAAATTTCATTATTTATCTTTGTATTTAAAAAATTTATTTACCTTTTAAACTTATGTTATCCATGTTAAGAGATGATATTGATGAAGTTTCAACCCTAGATGGTTTAGATTTAATATTGGCATTGATTTCTTCATGTGTAACAACAATGAACGGAACAATAGTTGAATTATTACTACAAGAATCTGTATTATGATTTCTAAAACTAATGATAATAATAATAATAATAATAATACTGATGATAAGAAAATATTTTTTTGCGTTCTAATATCTCCTAAGAAAAGCAGTTTGTCAGGATGCGCTTTTCTTTTTTTCTTGCTTTCTCGTTTAATTCGATCATATCCTTGGTAGAATCGACAGGGTGCGCGGATGAATCGGAAACTGAGAATGACACATCACCATAAAAAAAGCAATATAAGAAGAAGAAAAAAAATCTAGATAGGTGCCAATCGTCGATTAGGTCAATTTAGATTCGTAAATTATCGATGTTGTTTTTTTAAACAGTAGGAGTGTATAGAGATAAAATGTATTTTTATCTATATTTATTTCTTTTACAGTTCAATACTCTTCTAGATAATATAACTATCGAGTTGTCTTTATTTCTTTCTCTTAATCTATCAAACGACAAGTCATTGGAACTGAACAAGATTTCCTTAAATAATTATGTTAGTCAGCTATAAATATCTTTGTGGTGATAAGAGACAGAGAGAGAAAGAAAAACACAACAAGTTTTCTTTATATTACAACTTGCTATTTCGCTTCAGTTCATGATTTATCATGCAAATTGGTACAAAATTTATTACATCGATCATTTTCATTTGTGTAGATTAGAGCAAACTATGTCGTCTCTCTCTCTCTCTATTTGAGAACAGATCGAAGAGTAACAGGAGAAGAAAAGAAAAATGAGAATATCGCAACACAAAGAATCACTTGTCTTGATGATGTGAATATATTTTCAAATCAATAATGATTTATTAAGATAAATTAGAATAGATAAATACTTGTAGACGACAGAAAAAACGTTATGTTATTTCTCTTCTCTCTCTCTCTACAGTTGATAGTAAAACTAAATATATGCGTGCTTATTCTCTTTAAAATTGTCAATAATACTAATGAGAAAAGAAAAAAAAAGAAATCTAAGTTATATGAAATGATTTCCGTACACTACTAGAATGTGATGATTAGGCTTTCTAAATTTCTCTATTTAATTATTTCTTTGAAAAGAAAATAAAAGGAAATACGAGACACTTTATCGTTATATACATATAATAATAATCACATACGTTGTTGTCATTTGGACATCTTTTATAATGCAAAATGATTGCTTTTCTTTTTTTTTTCTTCTAACTAGACAAATAGAGATGAAGAAGTGTATTTAAGTATTCTTCGTTTCTCATCATTCATATCTTAGAAAAAATTGCAATTAAATACTGAATGAAAAAAAAAGAAGAAGAAGATTCACCTATATATGTATGTGAATTTATTCGAGAATAGAGAAAAAAAACGCACTTATATCTAAACTGAATAATGACAATTCATTCATTCGAAAATCCTTTCCTATGGATTCAAAGCAATTGACAATGCATTTTTTATTCATATATCTATATGAAAAAATGTTAGGAAGAAAAAAAAAGGAAAAAAAAAATCTCGTCGTTTTTTATATTAAATATTACTTTTAGGCAGATTTTACTATAAATCTATCATTTCCTTTTTAGTTTACTTACTCATTTTGATAATGTATAGTTGTCGTAATAGATTCTGTTGGTATTTCATTATTTGATTGATGTGTATGTAATGGACAGGCTAAATGACAGGAAATATAATAAAAACATATGAAATTAATTGATTAAATTGTTAAAACAAACATACTATTAGGCCATAACTCATTAAACATCAGTAAAGAATAATAGTCGCCAATTCTTTAGATAGGAAAAAAAGAAAGTACTGACATATATATGTTTTACATCATCATATAAATATCGCTCAAGTAAATCCGGTAGTTCTCTCAGTCAAGAGGTTGATATATTGTCAATAGACGCTATATCATTTTGTCTTTAGGATATATCGATATACTAATGATAATTTATCGTTCGTCTCTTGAATTGCTTTAGGATAATTTCCACTTGTTCGATGTCTGACAGACTTGTCTGATTCTCAATATACATACATATATATCTATATATACCAATAGAAATATGAGAGAAAACAAAAAAATTTGATGACATGAAAATGTCTTATCATAACATTAGAATTGTTTTTATTATATTAATATGCAAAACTCTCCTTACCATTGTTGTCAATCATCTTAGTAATATTATTATACTTTGGTGATTCATCATCATCATCATCATCATTGTTATCAATCTCGTCAATATCTTCTTCAATTGTGGCCAAAGGTAGTATTATACTTACACCCGTCATATCATTACTTACAGTACGATCCATGAATGACTGATTACAAATGCTCGTGCATAGAATAGAAAAAAGGAAAAGATGTTTAGACTATTACCTCTATATATATATAACATATATATCTTTAGTACAAAAGATTAGGATAGAAAAAAAAGGTCGAGCAACATGTAGATGATGTTGATCATCAAAAAAAAGAAATAGTAGATAGAGTGTAAATTTATTTGAAGCATATATTTATAGACATTGAAGAACGGAAAACAACTTCTACCTGAAAGGATAAGATCGCTGTCATCATAACTTTCATTTATTTTTCTTACAGCTGGAAATGCGTTCAGACTTGCCTTATGGGTGTATTCATGAAAAATGTTTCGACACTTCTCGCCTCATCATGATTGTATCCAATAAGAAGAACATTTAATTCAAAAGAAAAAAATGTTCCTTCTTAATATTTGTTGTTGTTGATGATGTTTGCATTCACTTTTTTCTTCTCTTTCTTCTTACTTATTATTACATGTAATCTATTTAGTTAGAGTGTGATTCAAGTTAAGATAATCATAGGAAATAAGAAAAATAATCAAATGCATACAGAAAAATTGAAGGATCTTATGTATGTTGAAACAAAAAAAGATGCCAATGATGATGATGATGATGATAATACTTCTTTTCTTCTTCAGAAATAAAGTATATTGCCAATGTTATTAATAAAGATTTGACAAGTTAAACTGACATACATATTTTTTTGAGAAAACAATCTTACTTATATCCATTCTTCTTTGACAGTTAATAGACGCTAAGTAATCAATATATTCTAATTTTTATTTAATCAGATGAATATAAAAAAATAACCTATATCTTCAATTTACGAGTTTTTTCTTCTAAATCTAACATCATATTAACTTTTAGAAAAAAAAAGAAGAAAAGACAATTTCCTGTTCATTTTCTTTTTTTTTCTCTCTTTCATTTTCTAATAGAAAAACAATATCCGTATTTCCGGTAAAAATATTATATTTTAAGTAAGACTAAGAAGATTATCTTCATGTCTAAATAATATTAATAGAAATACAAAAAGTTTCTTTTCAAGTTTCAAAGTTTTATTTTTATTTCATATTATTCTTATGATTACAATTTTTGACAAATAAATAAATAAAGAGAAAATTCACTTTTTATTAAGCATTTAAAAGTCAATTAAACGTTTACGATTTTGTCGTTGGTTAATCGGATAAGCATATTGTAAACTTTCATCAATATTTGATGGAATAAAATCATTAAAATTATTTGCCAATTCATGATGTTGTAAATATCCAAAGTCACGTTTTAATCGAAGATTCATTGGATGATTGTATCGTGTATTCAATGATGATGCTGATGGATAAGCATACATACATTGACTAGTAACGAGTAAAACGACAAGTAATGGTACTGTAAATGCAACCATGATTTCTTTATGTGTGTATGTTTATGAGGTGATAAAGATTGTGAATGTGTGAAAAATGAACAAGTATATAGATGCTCTCTTTTTTTTATTTATTAATTATGGTTCTATAATTTCTCAAGATATTTGAGTATGATTAACTATAGAAAAATAATAAGAATCAAATAAAATCAAATGACGTCTTAGCTTTTATTATTATTATACACTGTATGATTCAGTAAAAACTACTTTATTCATCATCGGCAGTTGTTGTATTGGATTTTTTTGATCGACTATCGAGAATAATTGTTACTGGACCATCATTTTCTAGAATAAAAAAATAAAAAAATTTATTTTTTTGAAGTATCTCGCAATATTGTCTAATGAGAAATAAACAATTATTCTAATAGTAATGAAAATATGAAACTATTAATGATGTAGGAGAAAACTCATATTACATCTAAATATAATCATATTTCAGCTAAAATAAATTTTCATTTGATTACCCAAATTAATTATCATATGTGTTATATGAGATCTTTTTAGTGACAATGACGTCTTGTCTCAAATGATCATACACAAAGTGGTTGACCTTCAGAATAAGTATCATTAATCTATTATGATTTAAATGAGAGAATCTCTAGAAACTCAAGACGAACTTATAGTATTTTTAGTTAGTAAATCATAAATTATTAGACTATGTAAAATAGTTTATCAGCCCATTTTCATGATATATATGTGGCAATATTAATGATTTTATGCATAAGATTTAGCTGAGACTGGTTTATATTTACCAGGAGCTAAATCAGATTGATTGCGTCTAGAGAATTCTTTTACGGTAAATGAAAAGTGTCATTAGTTTGCAATATATATTTATGAATACTACATAAAATTTGTAATAGTTGCTATTTACTTAAATATGACACAAATTATTATGTTCTATTTGATAGACTCATCTAGTTATTTTTAGACACTTATCAATACATGAATCGATTAATATAAATATAAAAACTTTATACTTTGAATTATTTCTTAAGGATAATAATCAAACGTACCGATATTCACATTCATCATCGCACCAAATTGTCCATCAAAAATCTTGTCTGATTTATAACTTTGTTTTAATTGATTTAATAATTTCTCATAGAGTATTTTCGATTGTTCACCTGACATTGATAAATGAAAATCCGGTTTTGTTCCTTTTAGTGTTGCATGTAGAGTAAATTGACTCACACATAAAAGACTATAATCTGATTCAACTACATTACGAACCCAATTTTTACTACCATCAATCGATGACCATAAACGTATTGCAAGTAGTTTTTTTACGATATAATCAATATCAGTTTGTTCATCATCATTAGCAATACCAATTAATACACATAAACCACGATCGATTGAACTAATTAAATCATCACCGACTCGAACACTAGCTCGAAGAACACGTTGAATAACAGCACGCATTATCTATTTATTTATATTTTGTTTTTTATCTGAATTTTAGAATAATCAATTTTTTTTTTATATTTTGATTGATAAAAATTCCAAGCACGTTTATGATGTATGCTCGAATAAGAAAGAAGAAAAGAAAAATTATTCTCAAATAAATTCACGACGAAAAAAAAACAACAACAATAAAAGCAAATCTGACAGGTTATGCGTAATCGGGTGGTAAATAGCGCTCTTGGTGCTGCTGTTGTTGTTGTTGTTGCTGAAAAGAACGCGGAAGATTCGATACAGAACTGTCTCTCTAGAAACAAAAGAAAATCATTTTTTTTCATTAAAAAAAACAAAAGAAAAACGTACCACACGATTATTAGAAATGCCATTCTCACCAGTATGATACTTTGTTGTTTCCTGTAGACTATCATTCATTCTCATTGTTGTCATCGGTATATTATTTTCCTGTTGAACTATAGTTCGTAAATTTAAAAAACTTGGTGGTAATGGACCACATAATGTTCCAAAACAATTTAACCATCCATTCCCACGAGAAAATGGATTTTTTATATTTTCTTCATGATCTGATGTATTCCATGTATCTTTAATCTTTAAATAATAATAAATTAAATTAAGTCTTAGTCGTAATTAAATTATGAATCTACTTACATCTTCATTTGTTGTTATACTACGACAAATTAAATATGTATGGTAACTCCATAAACCAATAACAGACCAAATTGAAAAAAAACATATTAATGCTTCGATCATTGTTGCTGGTGTTTCACGAATTGCATCAGCAACAGTTGAATTCTTTTGTGCTCCTATGCATATTAATAAAAAGTTTGATTTTCTCATTAATTAAGTAAACTAGGGAAAGAATAATTGAACAGATAGTTGTAATAGTTATATTACAATAATGATAATATAATCAAGATAATTCCCTTAAGTAACATCGATACTATTAATTTCGGCATATAGTTAATAAAATCATAAGAAATAGTTTTAGAACGAGAAGAGATAAATCGAGTACTACTTAAAAAAATTAGTTTTTTTCGAGTTTTTTTCATATAAAACTTACGTAAAGCAATATGAACAATATTAAAAACGAAGATATAAACACAAAGAATTGATAACGAGAATAAAAAGAAATAAAAATATCGATAATTTCTTAGACCAATACAATTTCCAACCCATGGACTACAAAGAATAACAATACAAAGCTTTCATTTCAATCAACTTTCAAGTAAAACTACATACCAATGATGATCAAAATTTGCTAGAAAAATAAATAATTAAAAAAGATTTTATTTTACAAAATAATTCTTCTTACCAATACATGCATTACATAACGAACAATGTGATACTCTTGGTGGTCGAAATAATTTACATGTTTGACAATATTTAAGTTGTAGCGTATGTCCACTACGCATTTGAACTACCATAACTTGCCCAGCCAATGTGATATTTTGGGAATTCTCTATAATTTAAAAAGTTCTTTATATTATTGTATATAAATAAATATTTGAGTTTTAACCTTTTTCCAAATAAAGTATTTCATCAGGTGTTGCTCGAGGAAGTATACCTGGATCTGTACAAGCCGTACGTAAAATACAACAAATAACAGAAAGAAATAAAATAGCTGCAAAAACTGGTATCGTTGGACTAAGTTCTTTGGTTAAATAGGGACAACTGAAATAGAAAAATAGATATTGAAAATTATAAATAAATTTCGAAAATTTTACTCAAAAGCAAAGAAAAGACCAGATGTAATAGTGATTAAAAATAGTGCAAGTATCAATATTCCAATATTTTGACCAGTAATACAACGACCATTACAATATACACGATTTTTACTCTCAATAAACTATTAAGAAATAAATGAAAATTTATTAAAATTCATTAAATTAAAAGAAAAAACAACAAACCTGCCACTTTCTCACCATAATGCTATCACCGTTAGTTAATTATCATATTTAATTTAAAGAAAAATAAATAGATATATGATATCTAATGAACATTATTTCATGATAAGAAACATATGCAAATAAGCTAAAACCAAATAGAAGAAGATTATATAGAAGATAACGCTACTGTCGATATAACTTCGTAGTTGACAAGTAACGCTTAGTTACAACGACCTCTTCCTTTTTATCTAGGATTAGTTCATTACACATGAGGAAATAGTTATCTCGTTTCCTTTTTCCTTTTTTACGCAATAATAAAAAAATTCTCTACTCATTGTTAGAAATTCATATTCAATCGAAATATTGTCAACAGGTTAATTAACAATGATATTTTTGTTAAATTATAACAAAAAACAATTTTCTACTAAGAATAACAAATATTTTAAAAATATGAGATTAGTTTTAGATAATCAGATGTAAACTCAAAGCACTCTAATTTAAGTTCTTATCTGTGTTTAGCTGTCAAAGGATTTGCAAACTGAACTTCATACTATTTGTTACAATAATGAGCAAGATGTTGTCGTTTTAAAATTACGAAACATAAACCAATTTTTTTAACCTTAAATCAGAGAATTTTCACATATAGCTTAATTATGTAAATACCCAATAAGTTTACCTTTTATCACATGTAAGAAAAATGCACTATAATTACTCGATAGGTTAACACGACTGATACAATTATCATGTCTGACCTTAGAATGAACTAGTGCGTTTTATGTATTCGATAAGGTTGAAAAGATTTAAAAGCAGGAAACCAATAATTGAACTATAAAGTATGTAATTTATGCATTTCCTTTGCATAGTAAATTAAAACAGATTTATCAAATAAAACTTCATATTCAATGTGAATGTTTTTTATTATATTTTTTTTCATAACAACAACAACAAAAACACAACAATATCAATTTGTTTCCATATCTTTAAATGTTTTCACAGTTTCTTCATATTTTTCTAAAACAATTGAACACATTTGTTTTAAATCGACTAAACCCTGTCGAAATATATCAATTGCTGGTGTTGATGTTGAATCATTATTAATTTTTGATTGTATACGAAAATTAATTTTGGATTCGGATGGATGTGGAATTGTATAACCACAAAAATCAACATCAGGATTTTTCATAATAACATATCGAAGTGAATTTCCTAATGTATGATCTTCATCACGAATAATAAATGAAAGATTTGGTGCACCAACAGTTAATTTTGCATTTGTATTATCATCTACTGGGCAAACTTGTAATTTTACATAATCATTCGATTGCATCTGAAAATGAAGAGTTATTAATAAAGTCCATAAGAGAATTTATTCTTGAAAAGGGAATCGCAGGTTTTACTTCTCTAAAAACTGATAATATTAAAATGTCTGTAAGAATTTGCAGGATGATAACTTCGTGTTTTATTAAGTTATGCGTTATGTTTTTTCTATGGCTACGGTTTTTATTCAATAAAGAGGAAAAAAAACGGTAAAAAAGAGTTCGGGTTAATTAGACAGCTAATTCAGTTGGTTTTGATGTATTCGATGTTGCGGCCATTGCAAAATTTTTTAATGTTGGTTCAACTTCACGTGATATGAATTCATAAACCTAAGAAAAGAAAAACGAGAAGATTTTTAAAAAGAAACAAATGATTAGAATTTAATTTACTTGTTCCGGTGCTCTTCCAATGAATGTTTTAGCATCAAGAAGAACATCAAGTTTATTGACAATAGGTGCAAAATATGGATCAACTTTAACTCGTTCAACTAGATCATTATCTAATCCTTCCATTTTAACCCGTTCAGCAGATTTTTGAGACAATGTACGAATTTTTTCATGACATTCTTGACGATTACCACCAGCCGAAACCTTAAACGATTCTATTTAAAATTGAAATTATTCATAATATAGATTTACCATTGCCATGATTATATTTTCTGTTGCCATAAATGGTAATTCTTGTTTAATATGCTTATCAATAACCTGAAAATAAATTCAATAGATTTTTCAATCTTTGTAATAATTTCACATACTTTTGGGTATACAACAAGACCTTCACTGATATTTAATAAAGTAGTAAGAATAATATCAGCAGTTAAAAATGCTTCAGGAATACAGATACGTCTAAATACAATAACTAGATGAGAAATAAATTTATGTAAAAACTTTACTTATTAGCACTATCGTCTAATGTTCGTTCCATCCATTGAACAGAATGTGTACTTAACGGATCATTAACTAATATCATTAAATGACGTGCAAGTGAACAACATCGTTCACATCTCATTGGATTACGTTTATAAGGCATCGCACTTGAACCTATTATTTGTTTTTTTTTTGAATAAATCAAAATTTTCTTATTCAAAATAAATCATACCGATTTGTTCAATTTCAAATGGCTCTTCAATCTCTTTGAGACTTGCTAATAAACGAATATCAGTACACATCTAAATATTCAATGAATTAATAAATGAATAGCTTAAATAAATTAATCAAGTACCTTATGAATTGTACCACCAAAACTGGATAGAACACTTACGACTTCAACATCAAGTTTACGTGTATATGTTTGACCACAAATAATAAAGGCTCTAAAAAAATAAGAATAATAACTTACAAATCGGTCAAATATTCGATGAAATGGATACTACTAGTGATTATTTTACCATGAGATCCAATTCTTTTCATATCTTGATACACTCTATTGGTTGCGGATGTGGATAGATATAGGTGTGCGTTGAATCACTCGACACCCACCACATCCTTTGTAGTCTATTCACTCAGCATTCTTTTGATCCTAGACTGTGCCATACGTTCGATAGTCGTTTCGCGAAAAATGAAATACTTTTCAATTCTTTAGATTATCTATTATTGATACATTCTGTACATTTTCAATTAATAATAACAAATAATGTTCTAATAAGTTCAAGTGCACATATTTCTGCTAGTTGATCAGACTAACCACTTTTTACTTGCATATTCTAATCTAGACAGGATTCAATTCAAGTTAACATCTACTTTATCAGTAATGAAACTCGACCTTTCACAAGATTAATCATGAAAGATATCTAATCAACATTGATCTTTTCTACAGTCTACTATTTCAAAGACTTTGATTATTTTAAATAATAAATTACTTTGAAAAGCCAGCCATTTCTGTTACCATTCGATCCAAATCCTCGACCTATTCGAATAAAAAAATAGAAGAAAATATTTCTATGCATATTCTCATACTTTAGAATGGTCTCCATTAAATAATTGTAAAAACGATGCTTGAGTTCCAGTTGTACCTTTAACTCCACGAAATTTTAATTGTCGTCTAACACGTTCAAAATTTTTTAAATCCATTAATAAATCTTGTATCCAAATACATGCTCTTTTTCCTACTGTTGTTAATTGTGCTGGTCTTTTAAAAAATAAAGTCAGACAGTTCTTTTTTTTCTATTACTAAAATACATACTGCATATGAGTATAACCAAGTGTTGGTAAACAAGCATATTCTCGTGCAAAGTCTGTTAAACGTTGAATACATCGAATAAGCTAAAAAGAACTGATGAATAAAGAATTTTTGGATATATTTGTTTTTTGTTTACTTTGTTAATAAGAAGTTCAAATCCATCTCGCATAACAATTAAATCCTATGTATGAAATGAAATTTTACTAAAGAAAAAATAGAATTTTTGTGTAACATACTGCATTATCACCAACAAAGGCAGATGTAGCACCGAGATGAATTATTGGTGAAGCTTTAGGACAACAACGAGCAAATGTATGTACATGTGCCATAACATCATGTCGTCGTCGACGTTCTTCAGCTTCAGCAATATCAAAATCAATATTAGTTACATTTTTTTCCATTTCATCTAATTGTTCATCAGTTATATCCAAACCTAATTGCTATAAAAAATATAAAAATAATTTTAGTTTTTGTTTTTAAATTAAAACATTTACTTTTTGACATTTGGCTAACCAAAACCAAAGACGTCTCCAAGTTGAGAATTTCTTAAGTTCACTAAAGTTATAACTCATTTCCGGTGATGCATAACGTGAAACTAAAGGTGAACGATATTTTCCCCGATCTTCGGATGATATATTCGCAGTAGTAACTATAGAATCTTTTCCAGTACTTCCATTTGATGCACTTGGACGACGAGCTATTTTTATTGGTTGTTGATCCTGAACCGGTAGACCTGCTGGTTCCGATTGAGATGGTCGTCGTTGTTCATGTGCTGGTCCTATTGGATCCGACATCTGAAGAAAAAAAAACAAAAAAGGTCTTTCACAAAAGGGAAAAAAATTGTTCTACTAAAATAAATAATTTTCTTTTTCGAATATCTGACCTCTCATGATATTGTATAAAGAGGATAGACAATAACCTCTTTCAAATACAGTACATAGTTATCTATATAATCTCAAATATTTTCCTCACACATCGTCGTCTTAATGCAATGTCAGAGTTTACAGAATCAGACACTATACATGTACGTGCATGGTTTCGCATCTTACATATGAAAATGAGTTTATTTTTGTGTTTTTTTTTCTTTCTCTTTTTTCTTCTTCGTGTCGTTTCGATAATAAAACTACTTAAAAGAAACCAACGAACGAATATTTATCAAGAATAGAACAAAGAAAAACATGAAGAGATACATTCTTTTTTTTATTTTGTTAGTAAAAAAAGTACTATGATCAATTTTTGTTTGTTAATTGATCAGAAAGTGTATTCATAATTAATTTTTCATCGTTTATTTTCATATGTGAATGAAACATAAAAGGTAGATCTTCACTATCAGCCCAAATAATTGTTAATGCTCGATTTGTATTTGAATGATTTGTTGAAGATAAATTTTGAGCTTGATTTTTCAATGATGCATCACGTACGGATGAATGATAAAATGTTCGAATAGATAATTTGTCACGAAATTGTTCAATAAGATTAAGTATATTTTTCGATGGTTGTTTAGCTGATAGATGAACAACTAATTCTTCACGAACAGGTATTGAATTTATTTTATGATTTTGATAAAGTGTTAATTGAGTATTTAAATAATTAAGTTTTTCAAGTAAAACATCTTGTCGATTTTCAATATCTTTTAATGTTGATTCATTCGTTGATTTACCTATTTGTGTCTGTTGTATCACCGGTTGTACGCGATACATTGTAGTTGGTAAGTCAAGTTCAAGATTTTCTGAATTATGAGAACGTATCGAATACATATTTTTATATATCTAGAACAAAACAAAAACTTCAATTTCTTCTTTTTATATTATATTAACGAAAATTGTTTTTTTGCATTTATTTAGTTTCTGTTTTTCTTTTAACATGTTGAGCAAATGTTTGCGCAACAATTAATGGAAATATTAATGTAGCATCACCATGAACTTTAACCGGTTTGGCAGCACTACGAATTTTACCCCATGATATAGCCTCATCTGGACTTGCACCAGAATCCGATCCATCATATTCTGTACCTGTATTGATATAAACTGCATAATCAGCTCCATTACGCATCAAATTAGCATTACCTAAAGTTAAGATGTATATTAATAACTATGCTGCATAAACATAGTCGGATCTTATCAGTTGACTCTGACCTAAGTTTCTATAACAGGCTTTTCATCTGCATAGCAATATGTCGAAAAACGCCGTTACTTTTTTCTTAATGAAGTCTGCTAAACTATATAGTTGTATGATTTCGAAAGTCTATCAACTAAAGCTATGAGAAAATTAAATGCTTCATTTTCGATTCCAGTTATATTTTATACACTCTTCATATAAGAACAACTTACAAATATGATGTTTAACAATACCACCACCTAAAATCAACATTCCAGTTGATTTAGCATGTACAGATATTGTATTAAGATTTTTTAGATCTTCTAAAATATCGATTTTTAATCCTGGTTTACGATATGAATGAAAATATAACATATCTCCTAAACTTCCATCAGTTATAGCCGGACAAAATACAGGTATATCATTTTTCGCACACCAATAATAAATAGATTCTTCATTATTTATTTCTTCTCCAAGTATTTTAATTAATTTTGATGGTGTTAAAATACAATTATTAACATTTTCATCAACTAAACGATCTAAAATTGGTGTAAGCCAATCTTCAAATTTACAATAATTATCATTTGGTACTAATAAATTTCCAATACGATTTATTCCATTCGCTCGTAATTGTTGTCCATTTAATGTAAATTCTCCAACATATGTTGGTGCTAAACATTTAATAAAATCTTCTTCAATACCACCAGCTGTTGTTACAAGTACATGTATAAGTTTATGTTGACATAAATAACGTATTATATCACGACAACCACTTGAAACCATATTTGATGTATAACCAAAAAATATTATCGAATTATTTTCAAGCATAGAATCAATTTGTTGACATGCTTGACCAAAATGTGTTGCTTGAAAACCGGTAGATGAATAGGAACGTAATAGATTAAAATAATCAATTGGACCAGATTTATTAAAATCATAACCCTGAACAATTAAATGTGATGAAAGATCGATAGTTGTTGATGTAGGTTTAAGCGTTGCTTCAAGTGCAATCGATGGAATACCATCTTTCGATGTTTCTGACATGATGAAATAAAGTAAAGTAATCTTGTGAAATTATTCTTAGTTGAAACATCTTGATCTTGCATAAGAAATTGGGACATAACGTATGATTCATAATACGTTTCATTTTTAATTGATGATGTTTCTTCGTATTATCATTATGCAAAAAATGGAATTTTTATTTATTAAAAAAATAAGATTTTTATTGAATTATGTATTTCGATAGACTCATAATATTTAATAAATAAATGGAATTCAAGTATAGATGGCAGTAGTATCCGTTTAAATAATGATTTGTATTAGGTGACATACATATAAAGAGTAGTAGAACATAATAGAAGAACAATATTTAATCGTATTCCTACAAGAAATTTCTGAAACAACTCTAATTTATGGCTTTGCAAGAGTGATATGTGATATTTTCGATAACTAACTTGATGTTACTGTAATTTCTAAAACTATCTCAGATTTTTATAATAGTCTTTTATTTTAATTGAAATTTATTCTTAAGAATAATACTATCGAGATAAATATTCGCTATTAAATTGTTGTTTTTCTATCAATACTATTTTTATAGCAACAGATGAATCGGTGAGATGTGTACTATTCGATTCCATCATACATCAATACTGATCGAGCTAATAAACTGAATTTCAAACTACATGTTCATAACTGTTTACGTAATAATACATTAAAATATAATTAACTGCTTTTGAACCATAAAATTAGGAAAAATGGGTATATATATGATATGAAAAAAGAGTCTTAAAGATCAATAATAGGTTTATATGACTGGATCAATGATAGATGCATATCAAAGTCTAAAGCTTATTATAATCACATATACATATCATTCATAGCTTTTCTCTCTTGTAATTATTTTAATATTATTGATATTTAAAAAGAGAAAAGTATAAAAAGAATAAATAAATGTTATATTGTTATTGAAAGCTTAATTGGTAAGAGAAAACTAAGAGTATTAGTTGATTCTAGTAGTAGTAGTATATGTATGAACAAGACAGAGGAAAGATATTGACTTTCATATTCTAAGATTGAGAAATAAAAAACAAACAAACATATATAATAAAGAGACTAACGACAATAGCACAAGAGAAAGAAAAGTAGATGAGAAATAATAGAGCATAACAATGCCATTTATTTTAAGAATTTGCAAAGAACAAAAATCCATATATTGATTTTTATATTGATAAGATATGGAATATGTCAGTCAACGTTTCATTATTAATATGTGTATTATATTCGTTCCTTGCGTGCCAATAGTGTTTCACATTTCGGGCAATAATGATTTGTATCCTAAATAAAACAAATTAGAGAAAAATATATAAAGAAAAAGTTTAATTCTACCTTGAGATCTTTGACACAAAAAGGAACTAAACAACATCCACACCAACAGCAAAGAGTTACAAGAGCCATACAGGCGATCCATGGTAAATAACCAATTTTTTTTCCTACACGAGTTACGATACGTGTATGACAATTCCAACATAAACATTCCATAGGATCATGACCGAATAGTTCTGGAACACTAACAACTATAGTTTCTGATGATTGATTTGCAACCGATGCTGGTGTTTCTGATTCAAACGCACCTAAGTATTTAATACAAAAAATTAATAAAAAGATTTTCAAATTTTATAACAATTATCCAAAATTCATCAATACAAACTCTGCTGAGATAATCTGTTTAAATTGAAAAGATTAAACTATATAAATTTACAAATCTAAAGTAATTATTCTGAACTTCACAAAATATTTTGTGTCAATGCACTTTTCGGTTTAAAATTTTCTACATGTATAGTGTATAACGAAACATGAAAACAGTCGCTTATTAACAATTTTGACAGGTATTTATTGATTCAACTTATATCTACATGTCTCATATAACTGAAGTATTCATAACAACTTAACTGTCAAAAAGATCTTATGAAGATTTTTTATAATTTAGTATTCCATTTATTTTAGAAATATACCCATATCAGTAGATGTTATTTTGTTAACAGAATGACATCTATTCTACAAAATAATATTATACGAAGTGTCATTTGTGATAGGATTCACCGATTACATTAGTAGTTATTTTTGAAATTTAAGAATCAAAAATGTTTATATTCGATTCTTGTGATTACTCATCGTACGTTTTGTATTTTAATATATTTCAACTGATTTGCCATATTATTCTATATTGACAAGATATTTCTCAAAAAAGTACAGATTTTATGCTAGTTACTAGTTGCTATTTCTTTAATATTTGTTTATACTCAATTAATATAACGTCATAGTTAAGATAGATCGATATGAAACCTCACTTCTTACCATATTTGGGTGGTTGTCCAGTTGTTGTTGCTTCATTCATCTCGAGAAGAGTATGACTAGCTGCCGCTTCATTTTCTTTTGTGTCTGCCATATTGTTTTCGATCTTGATGTTGTTTCTTTCGGTATCTATCGGATAATAAAATAAGGTAGAGTGAGCAATGTGATTTTTTTCCTCTCTTGCTTCTTCTACATTCTAATAGGTAACATGCATTGTGCGATGAAGCGTAACAATACACCTATTTCTTCCCACGTCTTTACTTTTCATACAAGTTACTGATCGATTGACATCCTAATGACTGGAATATAATCGACCATAAAAAAGTAGATAAATAAATATTTGTTATAATAAGATTTCACTCAAAAATAGATCAAATAAAACTGATTATTATCAGAATTGATAAAAATCTTCTTAGCAAGTCATAACAATAAAGAACGATTGAATTTTTCAGCTTTATCAAGATAATATACAAAATTTATATAATGACAAATTAATCTGTCAGTATCAGTAGTTTTGTAATGTATATCTTTTTGTAACATCAACATTATTACATGATGTAAATTTACTATCACAAATTAATTCGAATGAATTGTAGGAACAATTTCTAATCGTTGACAAATCTTAGTTAACATGTTCTGATAGTAATGAAATAGTTATGATGACTCCTTCACAGTCTTAGAAAAAAGACGTGAAAATCTAAATTATACCAAAGTTCTTCAAAAAATCGATTTTATATGTTTACGTCATTGATCGGTACGTATCAAAGTCTAAAACTTATTACAATCACATATATATATCATTCATAGCTTTTCTCTCTTGTAATTATTTTAATATTATTGATATTTAGAAAGAGAAAAGTATTAAAAGAATAAATAAATAAATGTTATATTGTTATTGAAAGCTTAATTGGTAAGAGAAAACTAAGAGTATTAGTTGATTCTAGTAGTAGTAGTATATGTATGAACAAGACATGAGAAAGATGTTGACTTTCATATTCTAAGATTGAGAAATAAAAAAAACAAACATATATAATAAAGAGACTAACGACAATAGCACAAGAGAGAGAGAGAGAAATAATAGCAAAAAAAGAAAATCATAGTGTCTTTGGTAATTAGACATCAAATCAAAATCAATCACCGTAACCATGTTTATATTCATATTAGATTCGTTTAGCTTCTGCCAACATTTTTCCACAATTCGGACAATAATGTATTGTATTCTATGTAGTTTAATCAGAATAAATAAGAAAGATATATATATAAAGAAAATTTTGATCGTACCTTAAGATATTTGACACAAAATGGAATTAAACAGCATCCAGCCCAACATCCAAGAAATATGGCACCTGCACAGGTGAGCCATGTCAATGCACCATTTTTCTTTTCTATACGTGTTACAATACGTTGTTGACAGTTCGAACATCTACATTCAATAGGAATATGTTGAAATTCCTGTAAAGCACTAATCAATATAGTTTGTTTTAGTTCTTTTTGTTGACCCGATGTTGAAGAATCCGATTTAACAGCACCTAAATATTCAATATAGAAGATTAACAAAAACTTCAGAGATATAAATACTATAAACAGAAAAATTGTTGCCTATCTTATTCGAATTATGTAGACACTCTATGTATCGTACTTTATATATATAAAGAGACAATATTTAGATAAATTTATGATTTTACAGTTATATTCTTTTCTTAATTTTGACTTCAGTTTTTGTTCGAATACAAAAAAGAAGCTTGACAGTTTTTGTTACAAATTGTTGAAATATTAATATTTTGTAAAGTTAAATCTTTGAAAATGTAATTGTTTTAATTCTCTGGAAAGAAATAGTTTAGGAAGAATATCTATAAATCAAGTTCATGAACAGAACCACCAAAAAGATTGGCCTTTATCAGTACTCAATTTAGTTCAAAGTTCGTAATGCATTACTAAACCTTTAAGAAAGCAATTAATTATATAATAATATGGTACTCTGAATGCTTTCTAATCATCTATCTATATCTAAGAAGAAGACCTTTCGAAGAGTTGTGTAGTTTATCAGTTCTCTTTAAAGCCCATCGAATGTAATTGTCAAATAAAGAGTAGTTATTTTTTTTAAAGAAGATTTTTTGCGAAAAGCGTCATCGTTAGGGCTATACAGTAGTTATGTTGATAAAAAGTTGGCAACGAAGTCTTTCTAAATATTCAAATTATTTGAATCATATGAAGTATGAAAATGATTACAAAAAACAAATTTTTTCGGTTTTATTAAGAACTACAAGATATTCGATAAATTCTTCGGCAGCATTTGAATGAAAACTACTTTGGAAAATTCGATACCTCAAAGAAAAAGTCTTAAGAGAATGCTTCCTTTTCAGTATTTTTAATATTTTATTTTAATTTGTTTATGATTCAAACAATCTTAATGTTTTCGAAAGTGCTAATTCTGATAATTATCAACCAATCTTTCTTATTCACTATAAATGGTTAATAATCTCATCTTTATCAGTGAAAAATATTTCGATTGACTTTATGTTTTATACTATCATGATATCTTCAAGAAAAAACAAATCAGTCATCACCAGCTGTATATCGATATCATGTGATAGCTAATATTTTTTGTAATATTTGTAAACAGATAAATAATGAATATACAAAGTTTAGTAAAATTAATTCTTACCATAGCTTGATGGCACTTCAACAATATCACGAAGAGGATATTCGATGAGTTTTTCGTATTTTGAGTCTGTCATATTGTTTTCGATGGTGATGTTGTTTCTTTCGGTATCTATCGGATAATAAAATAAGGTAGAGTGAGCAATATAATTTTCTTTCCCTCTATTACTTTTTTTTATTCTCATAAGTAACATGCATTGTGCGATCAAGCGTAACAATACACCTATTTCTTCCCACGTCTTTACTTTTCATACAAGTTACCGATCGATTGACATCCTAATGATTGGAATATAGTCGACCATAAAAAAGTAGATGAGTAAATATCTTGTTGTGATAAGATTTTACTTAAATATAGGTTACTTTTATAATATTTGAATATCTTTTGTATAGAAACAGTTTAAAAAATCAAGATATCAGTCAATATTTTATTATAGATAAGAATGAAAATGAATCATACAAGCTTTTTATTATCGTAAGAAGTCAATTTTAACGATATAGGTATGAATATGAGTAGGTGGATTAAGAATGAATACACTGTCTTCGCATGTATCATCTTCAAAAAGATGGTTATTCGTTTTATTGTAAAAAATGTATGCAGATATTCATAAATAATCATGTTCAAGTTAACTGAATGGTTATGTTATTAGATGATCGAGTGCTTATTTTTTTCAAATTGAATTCATTTTTGTAAAACTTAATACATATTTTTAAATAAATTTAGTTACATTTTTCGTAAAAACGAACAAAACACATTCGATTGAAGGACTACATTGTTTATCATTGATACTGTCTTTTCTTTTCTTTGTACCTTTCTATGTTGACAAGATACATATTTTTGTTTTTAAAGTATCTTAAATATCACGTATATTTCTTATGATATATTTGAAAAAACTATTTACTTTCTTCTTTTTTTATTTTTATTGATATCCATTTGATGGATAAAAAAGTGGACTAATGTTTTTCGAATTCTCGAATTTTGCTAATAAGATTTTCGCGAACATACTTATAGAAAATTTGCTGTTGCAATTATGTAATTACATATGTATAAAAATAGCTTTTGGTAACTATATAGAGGGGTTTAGACTATGATATTACGTTAATTTGTCACATACATTTTACAATAATCCTGTGTTATTATAGTTGGCGAAAATACATATGAAGTTGTAAGAAAAAGTAAAGCAAATAAATGATTCCTTTTCATATTTAATACACGACAATCAATTTTGAATGTCGAGATCATTTTAGAAACTTCAAACAATGCTTGAACAGTATTACTATCTATCTAGTTTCTGTAGAATTGTTTTAGTAAATAGTTTTTATAGAAATGATTAAATATCACAGAAGAATCAAGAGTTAGGTTTAATATCACTGAATATAAAATAAATGCTTTCGCAAGTTTCGTATATGAGATTTAAATTTCCCAGTCATTCTCACACCGATTAATATTCTTAAATAGTCTGTTTATTAATTAATAAGTCAATTGGCAGAAATAGAAACCTGTTGTCATTGGTCTTCTACTCGTGTTTATTGATTAGAGAAAATAAGAATTTTTCATTTTTGTTTTCAACATTATTCCGGTTAGAGTATATTAATCAAAATAAAAAAAACAAATTTCAATTGATTTTTGTTCTAAAATTTTACTTCAATAGAGAGCCGTCTGTACATTGGTATTAACATTCAAAGATTCTGTTCAGATAAAATAAGCAGAGTCAGTCTTTACCTAACATTATTTACTCTCAATCTCATCAATGTAGACACGATGTATAAGGAAATAGATAACTATTCAAAAGTACTTTTCTCTCACAAAACCACTTTTGAAATTGGAATACGATTTATCATTCAAAAACACGTCTATACTATGAACTTGATGTCGACAATGAATAATACTCATTACTATCATCGACATTTCATAGAGTTCTAAGTAGATATGAACAGATAGATTTTTCTTATATTAAATAATAAATGAATTATTCTTGGTGCTCCAAACACAAACAATGCTTTATTTCTACTGAAAAATAAAAGAATAACAAATAGAACTTTTAGATTCAAATTAATTATATTTTCATAATGTTCTTAGAATAGGAGAAGACGAGATCATCGATATTGAGAAAGAACAACTCTACACTTCTACAATAAACTTTCGATTTCTAAATCATCTAATTCAGAAACTGTAATAGGATGATACTTGATAAGTGCATACCGTCACTGTTGTATTTGAAGAAAATATCATATATTTATTAGTACATTTTGATATTGGGTTGTTGATGTGTACGATGTTCAGCACATGAAACTGTAATAAGTACTTTAGGCATTCGTCGCTTACTCATTTTATACAAATGTTTTTTATTGCTTCGTTTACTTGAAATTGATGATACTGTTAAAGTATCTATATTCCTATTGCTGATTGAATTTATATTATGATTTTCTGTTGACTGTTTAAGCGATATTTGTAAACGATCAAGTGTTTTTAAAAAATATTCATATCGTTGATTTAATATATCTACTGCTTTATTATAGTTTTCATTTCTGCAATAAGTCTTTTGAACTGGATACTTCGAAGGGTAGTTAATAGTTCTCGTTAATTGATCATTATAATTATTATTATTAGTTAAAGAAGAAGATGAATTAAGATTGGTATATTCTGAACAATAATTATTGAAAATATTTCGTGACAAAACGAACGGATTCATTCGAGTTGTAAGACAAAAAAAATAAAGAAAATGGAAATAATTCATTTGACAAGCGCGTAAAAGAATTCTATTGCATTAAAATAAAAAAAAATAATATCAATTAAATCAAAATCATGAGATTACAATAGTCAAAATATATTATCAGTTTAGATTGAAATGATATTCATATGAAGTAATTATATTCAACAGACGCAATTGCGTGTTCTATAAAAAAAACTTATTTTATTTTTGTACAGACAATAATGTAAAGCAATAATAATAATATAAAATGAAATATATATCACGACTAATCATCGACTGTTATGTTTTACCTTTGTAAATAATAAATGCGTTTTGTTTTTTCTTATTCATCGTAAGCTCGCGAAACATGTCTGGTATACTTATATATTATTTTAGTATTATATTTGTTTTTCTCCATTATTTCGATTGGTTAACAAATTATCACAAAAAGAATACTTTTTTAGATAATGGTTGAATAAGCATTCATTTTTTTGTACCACCTTTTCTACTGTGAGGGGTTATAATGTTCTAAAATATTTATAAAGCCTTTCATCAATTACACTGACTATCATAACATTCATTAAAATTTCAGCAAATGTTGTAATGTGTTCCAGTTTCAGCTTATCTCTTTAACTAAAATATAATCATGTACATATATGAATAAGTCCGATCGAAACTGTTATTTAAATGGTAGAAATTGAAAAGTTAAATATGAATTTTACAACTATTGTAATTTGATCTAAATACTAAAGCTTAAAATGCTGCAAATTTATTAAGAAGGACTCAGATAATCTTATTTTATTTATCAATAAAATCAGCTTTTGCTACTCAGGTATCGATCAATCGTTGTTTTTTATCAACTGTAATAGCAAAACTACCGTATGCTGGCGATATCTTTGCAAAATAGCAATATATTGATTATACATATAATTTAAAATTATACTATCTATTGACCGATATTAAAATTTCGTAAAATGGAAGATAAATTATAGCACTACTATCCCTAAATATTCATTTAATATTATTATTAATCATATAATTGTCATTTAATAGTTCTGTTATACAAGCATATAATTGCACCATCTCGAGAAATATTTTGATAAGAAACAAACATAAATTTACATATAACGAAAACGTAAACCAAAAAATTGTAGCTTAAGAAATTATATCGATGTCAAGCAATTTGAAATTATGTTTTCTTACATTACCAGTAGAAATTGTTTATCATATTCTTGATCATCTTGAAGTAATACAAATTCTATTCTCAATGCGAAATGTTTCCAAACGTGTCAATGCAATTGTCGACACATATCATCGATATCAGGTAACTTTCTATTCTATCTCTCGATTCTATGCGGAAGTACAGTAATATATATTCGATTAGTTATGCATTAGTTCGAATAGTCATCAGACTCAATAGATACAAACTATGTTTATTTAATGGAATCTTCAGTTTTTTTTAATCAATAATAATTTTAAATAGACACTCAATGAATTAGATCTATCATCTGAGACAATTAATTCTAACGGTATTAAATATCTAGCTTCTGCATTACAATATAATACTGTAAGTCTTATATTCTTCTTATTGATCTTTTCTATATTAGTCTTGTCATATATAGACACTTACTTCTCTAATCATTAATTATCAACAAATCTGCAGTCCAGATGTACAATATCTCGCCAAAGCATTGTACAATGAAACAGTAAGATTAACTTCATAATAGTCTATATTATATTAATTCATACAGTCACTTACTAAACTGAACTTGTACAATAATCAGATCGGTAATCAAGGTGCACAATATTTAGCTATTGCATTACAACATAATAAAGTAAATTCGTCTATCTAATTACCTATATATCTATATTCTCCGATGTAGACACTTAACATACTGAATATTTCCTCAAATTTAATCAGTTCAGAAGGAATAGTACATATAGCTGACGCATTAAAACGTAACAATGTAAAATTAAATCTTGATCTATCTATCTATTTGACATATATTCCTATTATTCATTACAGACATTGACTACACTAAATCTTTCTATAAATAAGATTGATTCCAATGGAGCACAATATCTAGCGAAGGTATTAAAATATAATCGAGTAAGATTAATTCTCTATTTATTTATCTCATATTCATTATATTATTTTGTATAGAATTTAACTACATTGGATCTATCCTTGAATTATATTGGTCATGAAGGAGCAAAGTCTCTCGCAAAAGTATTAAAAAATAACACAGTAAGACTGCTTCATTATTTATCTATCTCACATATATATATCATTTGATATAGACATTGACGCTGTTGAATATAAAGTACAATGGACTTGAAACTGAAGGATTATTCTATTTCAATAAAGAAATTAAAAAAAATCCGTTAAGAGTGAGATTTTAATAACAGATATACAGTTAAATTTATTCACGATATAAATTATTTAATATTTTTCGAGAAAACATTATTTTGTATTTTATAGTAACATATTATTGTTATACATTTTGTGTTTATATTCTTATAAATAAAATATTAAAATTATACATAGACTGACTCAAGGAAAAAAAACATCTCGATAAGGTTTGATAAAACAATTCGATGACTATTTATGTTACTAGTATAGCGCATTATCAATAATTTCAAATGAATAATGGAAAAGCTTTATAAAAATATTTATTGAATTAAAAACAAAAATACAATTGATAATCAGTTAATTTAACATCAACATAATCGAGATCACGTTGATGTATATAATCAAAAAGCCATAACATAAATTGATCTAGAATAGTATTTTTACTGGGTGTTCTAATGAATATATTCATTGTTTTTAATATACGAGCCATTTTCGAAAGAAGTAATGTCGTTAGTATATACAAATCTTGAACATTTTCAAGTGATAATGATAATGAATCAAGATGAATGAAAACAATTGGTAATCGTTCGAAGAAAAGCAAGTCTTTCACATTATCAATTGATCTAAATATGTGTTACAAAGATAAGGTACAGATTTTTAGTTGGGAATATTTAATCTCTATATTGGATAATGTAAGCATCGAAAAATACAAATAAATATCTATCGTCAATCTTCCACGGAGAAAAGAGTACGTCATCTCATTCATCCTCGATTTTATTCAAAAAACGTAATTTTACAATCTCGATAAGTGTGATCTGATAGCATTGAGTGTATACCTCAAAATGCTGGTTCTTTATTCATTTGTGTGAAATTATGGCATACTTGGAAGATTCTTTTTCTTTTCGATTGAAGCGAATATAAGAAACAACTTTAATGTTACACGATTTTATTACCGTCTCTGTAAGAAAATTTCAATAAACTTAATTGAATTCGAAAACTGTAAGCATTTACAGAACCCTACAAAAATAAATAAATTGAATGACAAGTTAGCTAACTTTCATCTTTAGTTTGATGATTTTACATCCAACAATCCTGGCATAATCTTAGACCACTAACGAAACGTTTTACTATACGATACTGGCACTTCTACCTATAGATATATCTCCGAGAAAATCTTTCATACAACTGTTCAATCATTTCCTTTGAATCCTTTGCAGTATTTTATCCAGCGGGTGGGCGCCGCCCACCTTAAAATTCGATTCACGCATCCTAGTAACGAAACTTAGATAAAACCCTAGCCCTTTGTTTCCAATAAATTAGAATCTAAGATTTCTAGTAGAATCATATGATTATTAAATAAGAAAAGTTTTCTTACGTAATTGTTAAATGTTTAATTAATTTTGTTAGATGTTGACAAATTTTATTATCCGTTAATGTTTTGGTCATTTTAATTAGATGATTTAATGTAATTGTAATTGAATGAAGATTTGGCATATAATCAAGTAAAATAAGAATTGTTGATGGAAAATGCATTCCAATCAATTCCATTGATTTTATATGAGAAAATTTTATAAGACGAGAAATATCAACATATAAATTTTTTGGAAATGGCTGATATTCTCGAAATTCTGATATAAGTTTGAGATTTTCAACATTAAAAAAACATGAATCGAATAAGGGTGATGAGGTTTCATTTGGAGTTGTTAAAATTAAAGAAAGTTCTTTAATATTTTTAAAAGTATGTTCATCATTCATTGTTGTTTCAATACTTGTATTATATAAATTCACATCTATTTTCTTATTAATCATTGGTAATGAAAAGAATTCAATATTTGTCATTGATGGACAATAAATAAATGCAAAATACCATTTATGATGACGAAAATATGATGTTTCAAAAGTTTTAAGTAATTGAATACGATCATCTGATGTTAGTGTATCTTCTTGAGGAAAGATGATACGAAGTTGAAAACAATTTAATTGAGGAAATTTACTCGATAAAAGTGTTTGCCATTGTTTACCTAAATGAAAAAAAATACAAGTAACGTTCGTCCGAGGACTCGCTTAGCTCTTTCTCGTAGAAATGCATGCTCCTCACATTTACTGAAAAATCGATCTTCGATGTTTTTCTGACCTTTGCCTTCTTCCCTGATCATGGTCACCCAACAGACCTCAGATTCGAACTCCCCGCATTGAAATACCTTGAAAAATCCGTTTTCGATGTTTTTTTGACCCTGCGGACACACAAGAAATTAAAAAACATACCATTCGTATACTCAATACCCATTGCATTAATTGATAATCGTTGTAAATCTCGAAACAAGTTAAATATCGAATTTGTTAAACGATGAAATGGTATTGTATGACTATTAATAATAAGTGATTTCAGATGATGAATTTTATCTATTTCTTCTGGAATTTTTCCATCAATAAGTGTAACTGTTAAATGTTGAAGTTGAGGTGTGTAATTTTGAATAAATAAACCTAAATCTTCGATATTACATTGATTTAATATTAAATCTTTAAGATTTGGATAAAAATGTTCATTTTGAAAAGAAATTTTTTTATTTAAATTTAAAATACATGTTTGAATTAAAGGTAATTGTCGTTGAAATATAATTTCATTTTCAATATTAATATTATTTCTTGTTTGTAAATTTAAATAAATAAGTTTTTGTAATTTACTTAATTGTGGAATAATTATTTGAAGTGTTTCAATATTTAAATTGGAAATAGTTAAATATTTAAGTGAAATAAATTCCGATAAACGAATTTGATAAATTAAACGATCACAAATATCTTCACAACGAAACGAAATAATATTATAAGGTACAAGAGGAAATAAAAAATAATTATAATAATCAAAAATCTTCTTATATTTATTTAATAAATCAATACGAACATGTAGAGATATAAGTAAATCATTATATCGTCTATTAAGATAATAAAATGCTTGAAATATATTATATGGTGAAAGATATTCAAATATTTCAAGTAAAACTTCATTTGGTATTAATTCAAATTTTGATAGTTTCATTTGGCTTGAAGACATTTGTAAAAAAACAATTTTTTCTAAAACGAAAAAAAAAGAATACTAGTAGTCGTGGTCCGGACAACAACAATATTAATCAGTCTACTTCCTAGTTTTGATATTTACTCATATGAGAGTAGAAGTGTCAGCCGTCAGCTGATTTTTGCTGAAGCCGACGCGCGTCCAAGCGAACGGCTTACACCTCTATGTGAGAGAAGAACGAAGCAAAGCGTGTACATATTTGTTATTGCGCATATGTCTAGGCTTTCTTTAAATGCATAGAATTCATTTAATGCGAAGCCTTATGCATATCTATGTAACACCATCTGATCTTTCATTCGTTATTGGATGAATATTATTCTCTTTTAGAATATGTAGTGATTAATCGATTTTCAATCCTGTGGTACCCTTCAAGGATCGAAAAACAATCAATTTACCTAAAACAACAATTTTATCGCTTAAGTACTTTTAATGTTACTTGAAAATAATATTTCAGAAGTTTGAAACTTAATATATACTATCAAAGTTATTTTTTCGCTGAATTGATTTGCTACATACCTCTGAGAGGAGCGAGAGTCGAAAAATTTTAAGAGTCTGAAAATCGATTAATTACAACATATTCTAAAGGAGCAGAATACTGGTCTGTAAATAAATGAACGATCAGATGATTTATGACCCCAGTCTACCAGTCATGACTGGAACTGGTGCATATCTATAGTAAGAAATGAAATTATTTCAATTTATAAATGAGAATTTTGAAGACAGTAAATAACAATTGTTTTTATTTCAAGAATCATTGTGTATATATTTAATCTTATTGATTAACAGTTACAAATGATTATTTCATTCAAGATAGATAAACAAAAACTAACATAAATCTTCTTTTTTATTTGAATTTCCTACAACAATAACAACAACAACAACAAAAATGAACAAATTATTTGTTGTTGTACATTTAAGTGACTAAGCGATATGTAATATAACGACCAGCTGTTTCAGATGTGCGCGTAATTCGAACAACCTAAAAACAAAATTTTAAATCTAAAAAATATAAGTAAATTCAAACACGTTACTTGGCCACGTTTCAAACCAAAATAGCGAGCAACTGGATCACCATATTGAATACGTGGTAACTGACTTTCTTTTAGACGACTAAATAAAAATATTCTCAAAGATATACTTCACAAGACGAAAAAAACTAATTTCTTACTATCTTGCTAATAATTCTTGTTTTTCCTCTTGTGTTAATATAACATGTTTTGGAACAAGCTAAATAAAATTTTATTAAATAAATATTTTTAAATAAAATTAACGTTACATTATGTTCAGTAATATTGATTAATAATTCACTTTCAAGAAATACTTGAAATGAAAAACTTTTATTTTGTAATTCATTAATTAACTATAAGAGAGAGAAAAAAAGATAGATTTATATGTAAATTAGAAGAAGGCTTACATCACGTGCAGCTGGTGTTAAACCAGTTTGTACAACAAGAATTGAATGTGGAATACTTTCTTCTTGCATTTTTTTAAAATAATCTTTTATTTTATCCACACCAATTTTTGGTTGATCAGGAAATTGAACTATTAATGTATCTGTTGGATCATCATTATGTGCAACCATAACAATTAATTGCGATCGAGCTGGTTTATTTTCACTATAATATAATAAAATATATCGAGATACGAAATAATTAATAATTTACCTTGGTTTATCACCAAAAACAGCTTTAAATTGTTCAAGTGTTTGATCAAGTTCATCTTGACTTACAAGATAACCACGATCATGACACATCTAGGAGAGAAAATAATATATCAAGTTAGAAAGTTTTTTCTCTTGATAACTAGATGTCCTAATCAATTCTGTCTAAAGGAACTGAATCTAGTTAATAGGACGATGAGTCTTCAGATTAGGGTGCGGCTTCGAGATTGAGTATCTTAAAAAAGAGACTTCAACTTAATTCTTGGGTCCTCCTGAAGATGTACAATGAATAGAGAATAAAATTCTTTCAGGCTATTGTATTTTCGGATTTCACTCAACATGTATTGCAGGACAAATACCAACGGGATCTAAAAACCCGAAGAATCGAGGTTTTTCTAATCCCGTAGGTATTTCTTCATCATATATCTTGAATGAGATCTGAAAGTACAATAGCCTGATAGAGAATTTTATTCTCTATTCATCGTACATCGTCAAAAGAATCCAAGAATTAAGCTGAAGCCTCTATTTCGAAAATTCTCAATCCCGAAGCCGCACCTTACTTCAAATGATTGTTAGATATGCTGAACATCTTATGAGAAACTTTTTTATTCTTTTTACTTGAATATTAATGTAATGACTAGTGCAAGAAATATCTTACGAAAAAAAAAGATTTAGTTTATCATTAAGATAAGAATCTATTCGTAAATAATTTATTTTTTTTATAAAATATTCTCACCTGAAGAACTGTTTTTTTAATACGCCATAATTTGTAAGTTTCAGCTTCATCGTCCATTCTCTTTTGATATCTGGAAGAAGTTAAGTAAAATGAAACAAATACTATAGTATGCCATTGAATTCAATTGGCTCATTCCATTGACCAATACATATTCATTTATTCGTTCAGTTCGTATAGCTTTCTATTTCATATAGATATATAATACACGTGATTAATAATGACTAGCAAAAGTTCAAATACAAAAAATTTTCCTTTATTAAATCAAATTGATGAAGGAATACATTCAAATGATATTGATTGGAATAAAAATGCCTTTCAAACTTTACTTGTAATCTAGAATTTTTATCTTATATATAATACAAGTGATTTTTTTTTATTTTTTTTTATTAGACATCAAATTTACCTACGACAACAATATCTTATTATGCTATTGATGTAGGTCTTCGACGTTTAGAAAATAGTTTATATGAAACTTATTGGGATGTAACAGCTGATGCATTAAATGAGTAAATTAATACACAAAAAAAAATAATTAAATTCTTTTATTTTTAAATAAACTTTTCTAGCTTATCACAATTTTTATTCGACAAAGATATTGATGATTATCTATATGAAGCTAAATGTCAGTTATTGATGTATTCAGCAATTGCAATTATTAAAATGAATACAATTGTAAATAATCATTTATTTTTTTATCTAATTTAATTATGAATTTGTAGAGACGACGATCAATACATGATGCAAAGTTAGCATGTGCTACAATGTGTCTATTATTATTACAACAAAGTCGACCATATGAAATCGCATCAACAGTAGATGAATATTCCGCTTGTCATCGTTCAATGCGTCTTCGTTATTTAAAACGAATATTTATTATTGGTAAATACAATTTTATATATTTATGTACAAACAACAATCGAACAGTGTATTGTTCAGAACTATTTATTAAATCGAGCGAGTCCGAGTAATAAACCAAATTATTCGTTAAAACAAATGCAGGAGCGAGTAATTCGATACTAAAATAATTTAACCCGTAATTTTAATTTTCAATGAAATATTTCGTTTAAAATTTTTGCTAGTTAGTTGTTATTAAATAATTTTTTAACTGTATTGGAGAGTTGTCGACTACAGAAAAGTTGATTTTTGCTAACGAAAGAACAATCTGACTCAATTGCACTTTCAAGAAACCCTTACTCGGTCAATCATAGTATTGAAATTCGATTAAAGTCTTCTGTCTGTATATGAGAAATCTCTAATTTCCTCTTCTATACTAAGGTGCATTCTACATATAGCACCTATCGTTAAATGAAATGCATGACCTTATTGCGGCGGCACTAATCATACAATGATGACTTTCACACATTGCATCTTATCAGAACTTAATGATTTATTTCATCAGTCATACTCAATCATTTTATGAATGAATTTATTTAGTTCAATGGATACCTACATTATCTAAAATACAATTAAGTGACTTACAAAAAAATTATGAACGATATGTAAGTTTTCGATTTTTAAAATAATGAAAAAAATTAAAAATTTTATAATTTTTCAGATTGCAATTATTCTTGAACAATTATTTCCAGCAGTTTCATTACGAGATAAAATCAATAATTTTATTGATAATCATTTATTTAGTAATAACGTTAATGATGATGATGCAACATCAAGTGGATTTGTATTTATTCGACGTTTTCCAGAATTTGATGAAAAAATTATTGAAAAATATAATGATTTAATGAATATGGGACTTGCTAGTACAATGAATCAATGTAAGATATATGTGGGTTTCGGATAATTTTTCCAAAAGAACTTTCATAGTTAACCAAAAAGTTAAAGTATCGAATTTCCTTGTAATGCAATAAATGAAACCTTCCGATTACGGTTAATTGTGACTCAATATACACGAATGATATATTAGTCGAACATATCAAAACTCTTTTTATTTGATTTTTTTATCAGTACATTCTTTATATCATCGAAGCATTTCTCTGTTCATAAACATAAAACAACAGGTATATTTAATAAATAGAAATTGATCTTTTAACACTTTTATTTTTAAAATAGAATCTTTAACAAATAGTTTATATCACATCATTTAGTAATCTACACTGTTAATATGTAATGTTTTATTTAGTGAATAACAACAATGTACGAAAATTAATTTGTTGTATATGGACATTATGTTGTATGATTGAATCCGACCGAGTATCACTTGCAGGTAAGAAATTCGAAATAATAAAATTCAATAAAAAATTCTTTTTTCGTCTTAGTTATTAATAATAATACATTACGTGAACATTTTTCACTTACACCAATTGATTTTGAACAAAAACCAATTAATGTTGAATCATTAAATGAACGAGATATTATTGTAAAGAAATAAATATACGTATTAGAATGATTCTTATCTAATTTTCTTATTCAGGTCTTCCTTCTCTTATGTGCACAACAAAATGTTCATTTGAATAGCGGTGATTCAATATTACATCCCTATTTACTTTTTTCAGCATCCCATTTATGCACACAACAACAGAAGAATTGGTGGCAAACTGTTACTGAACAAACGTAAAGATTTTTTTCATTAAATAAAAATTCAAGTTGAATTTCTTATTCTAGTTTATGGAATGAATTTATTGATCATCTAGGAACAATACGTCTCGATGAAGAACGAATACATCAACATCCACCAAAATTAATTATACTTGAAACAGCTCGAATTCTATTTAAATCAGTAAATTCATTTTTGTCGTTTTTTTTTCGAAAATTTTCTTTTTTTCAAAAGGCACAAAAACTCTATGAACAACATGCAAAACGTGCTGCATCATCTTATGAACAATATGCAATACATTATCTTAAAATAGCTAAAAATACTCAGTTAGATAAAAAAACGAAATGTTTGATGAAAATCTTAAATCTATATTCTTTTCTAGGAAATTATCAGATTCACAAATTAAAGGAAATAAACAAGATAAATTATTTTTCTTTTATTCGCAAAAAACATTAAATAATGATCAGAAATATATCGAACAATTAATTGAACAATGTGAAACATATGCTCGACAATGTGATGAATTGAAAGTAATGATTAATTCTTAAATATTAATAAATGTCTCATTGATCTTCTTTATCATACAGGTATTACCCGAACCGCAACCACCCAGAACATCAAGTCCGACAAAAGAACAACAGAAAGGTTTTTGTTTTGTTTGTATGATTTGAAGAAAATATTGAACCTGTTTTGTTTCTTCTAGTGTCAGAAATTAATATTTCAGCTGTTTTAAGTCCAGTTATTGTCGAAAAAGAAGAACGAAAACCTCATTCAGACGTAAATAAAAATAATAGTGTTCTTGATTCAACATTATTTGCTACACCACCATCGATTAAAAGTCGTGATGTTGATGTTCAAACATTCATACAAACACCATCACCACCTCCTCCACCACCTGTTATTACAATGCCAATTATCGAAGAAATACCTGAAGTATCTGAGCCACCATTACCAGCATATGTTGATGTAATATTCTCTCATATGAATGAAGTTAATCAATGGATAAATGAATTTTGTGCGGATCATGAAGCAATTCAAAATGATGTTTATACAATTCGAGTAAAATTCTTCATTAATTCTAAACTAATCTAAATTTTTTGCTTTTGAATAGAATCAACTTGAAAAAATTAATCGAATTACTAGTCAGATGATGTTTTCAAATATGAAAACATTTCCGTCAGGTTCAAATGAAAATTTTGGTAATTTTCACCCACCACATTAAACATAATACATACTATTTTTTCTATTTATGGTGTTTTACATTAACTCTCTTTCTTTCTATATTGCCATATGTGTTCTCCTTTTTTTTTGCTATTGTAAACAGATCTTTTCTGAACTTGTATAAACAGATAAACATCTAATAAATCATTTTGGACAAAAAAAAAGACCTATCTATTTGTCAATATTACATCTGCATGTCAAATGTGATTAAAATAGAAAACTTCGATATGATATAATTTAACGATTTTTCTAATTGATCTCAATATATGCATATATTCTCCACTTGAGAAAAAGAAGGCGGAGTATGGTATATATGGGATATTAAATTAATAGACGTAGGTGGTCAATGCAATCACAAACTGCTGTGCAAAATGATGTCATTTTTTTTTCTTTTTCATGAAATTTTGTTTTTGACATTAATAAAGATATGACTCATCGAAAAGATAATAGATACCAGTGCGTTGATAATCAAAGATTAAATAAGAAAAACATCTCATACACTACTAGCTTAGTTATCTTCATCTTTTTCATTTGTTTGTGGTCGCGCGTGGCATACTTGTATGCTGTCAAGTGGCTAGCTTGTTGTTCATAAGCTTCCTCTTCCTTTTTTCTTTTATCTTAACCGCATTGACTATTATCAGCAGGAAAGAAGCTAATCGATATTGGTCACAACGAATAAATATAATTCTCTCGTTGACACCACTACCAACCAACAATAAATCGGTGTATGTGTGTTATGATCTTATTAGCATGAGTCTAACAAATTCAGTGAGCTATACATTGATCACACTACAATGATATATATTATATAAATATATAAGTATATTCATAGGAGAAAAAAATAGATCGCGACACCTAAATAAGACTTGTCAAGGTGCATCGTCTCATCACACCTGATGAAGCTGTTAGCTATATTCAAATTGTCTTGATACATATGGCTTATATGCACATTTGGAAGATGCGTCAAATATCACCAAACAATGATTAAGATTCTATACGATGTGATCTATTATTTTTAATGGTTACAAAAATTTAAATATTCTAAGACACGAAAAAGGCTAATGTATTAATATGTTTCTGAAAACTTAGAAGAAAATATCGAATATACTATAAACAATTCGATCGTGTCCTTTTTGTATCATCTAAAAATTTGTACTCAGACAGAAAATATCTGTTTTAATATAGATAAGAATTTCAAATTTTTTTTCGATAGAAAACTTAGAAAGAAAAGATATTGTAAATTGTTCAAAATGTTGATTAATATATGCTTTTCGTACCTATCAATTGGCTTTTCACGATATCAAAATTTCGAGCACTTAGCAACATTACATTCACACTCAATTTATATTGACAACCAGTAGTTCGTTGTCATTATCATCAGTTCTTATCACAGTGCATGTCTTCTAATTTATTTTTCTTTCGTATTCGATTTTATGTGTGAATATACGTTTAATTCACCTATCGATCACTATTATTCTATTACTATTTTAAAAAAAATCCTATTAAATTTAAGTGTTTATGCTTCGATGATGCGTGGAAGAGAAAGGCAATAATAATGAAAAAGAGCAATGTCATTTTCTTCTCTCTCTTTCTCTTCTCCTTCGTAATCAAGAGAGAGAAACAGATGACACTCAACGGATGGTACCACCCAATTGGCATCGACGAAAAAGAGAGAGAGAGAGAAAAATGTTTCTTGCTGCGATTTCTTCGATATGCACTATCAGACACATCACTTTCGTTATTACATATATCGTCATTCGTTAATAATCAAGCATACATACAGGTAAGATTATATACATGTGCCATTTTTTCTAAAAAATATTGCATAACTAATTGACTCAATTGAACAAAAGGAACTAATCTATTAGAATCGGTTATATATGTTATTGTTATGCACCATCTTTATTTTTTGTTTTTCTTCATATCACTAGAACGAAATGATGCTTAGTTTACACCATACAAATATGGAGACAAAATCATCTAGTAATGAAACATTATCAACATCAATGGTTTCAGAAATCAATGAAGAAAAAGAAAATATACCTTTATGTAATTATTGTAGAAAATCATTTGCTAATTATTCAAATTTAAGACATCATATACAAATTGTTCATTTAAAAGAAAGCAAATGGGATTGTAGTAAATGTGGAAAGGTAACAAAAAAAAGAAACTAAATTAATTTAATTGAAATTTTAATATTTTTGCTATATAAAGATTTGTTCGTCAAAATCAAATCTTAAAGTTCATTTTCGTACACATATTCGTGTTAAACCATATACTTGTAAATATTGTGAATATGATTGTATGCATCATTCATCAATTAAAGATCATTTAACAAAAAATCATCCAGATAAACCACATACAAGTATTGAACCAGGGTAAGATATACACTGTCAAATCTATCTTGAATTTCATAATTACAAAAATTTTTATTTAGATATAATTACAATTCTCAAGCTGTTCCTGAACCCGATGAATTTAATGCTGTTGATTTTGATCCTGCAAAATTTGTTGAACAACAAACTCAATGTAAACAACGTCAATCACTTATTGTTGAAAATAATGGTACATTGAAATATACTCAAACAACGACAACAACAACAAAAAATACAACACTTCCGACTAATAATATATCTATAACAAAACCGAAACGTTTTTGTAGTGATACAAATTTATTACAGACACCCTCAACACCATCATCATCATCGTTTCCATTTTTAACACCATCACCATTTCCATTATGGCCATTTAATCTTTATCATCCATCTTATATTCCAGCCATGATGAATGCAATACGTTTATCATCATTAGCAAATTCATCCATACCTCCAATTCATGAAGATAAAAAACTTTCAAATAAAACAAATCGAAAATCATTTGAAATTGAAGGAATATTAAATCTATCATTACGTGACAATAATAAACGTAAAAATCTTTCAGATACACTTACAAGTGAAGATGAAGATTCAATTTAAACGTGTTTTTTTCTTATCGCATCTCTGTTTATTATTATTTTTTTTTGCTGTTTATGAATAGAAAAACAAACTACAACAATAAATTCTTTTTTCTTATGAACTATTATTTACAGGTGAAATTAATGCTGTTAGCTCATCATTTTGGTTGGTTCGAAATGATCGATACATAAATAGAAGTAAAAATGTAGCAAGTAAAACAATAATAAACATCACTAAAAGCATTGTCCAAGTTGCTTGTAATAAAGCTCCCGCAAATAACGGTCCGACAACAGTTGCAATATTAACAACAAAACGTTGTATACCTTGACCAATACCTTGTTGTTCAAGATTCATTTCACGTGAAAATAAAGTTGCAGTTGTAACAGCAATAAGTGGTAGAGCAAGAATATCCAAACCAACAAATAATAAAAATATCGGTAAATATTTTGTTGAACCAATTTTTGAGAATGGTAATATAATTACAGCAATAAGACAAGCAATACTAAGAATAATAAATGCAGATACGAGAATTGTTTGATCACGAACTTTTTTCGATATATAATGTAAACCAATATAAACAATTGTTATTTCAATACCAGCTACAGCAAATAAAATTGATACATCGATTTCATGCCAATTAAATTGACGATTTGTAAATGGTGTTAAAGTTGTTTCAAGTGCTGTTTGGTTGAAATATGCAATAAAAGAAGTTACGAGAAGAACCTATATGAAAAGAATGGTGTATAAGTTCCTTTTTTTTTCTATAGGAAAACTGTTTAATATCTGCAGGGACGTTACATTTCATATAAGGGGGGTGGTCGAAAAATCATTAGTTTTAATGCACGCTAGAAATGTCATAATACGAAAGTCTTTGTCGCCTAGATCACGAATCTGATATTCGTTTGCCTGGATCTCAATAGAGTAGTCTCATGAAGTTTCAAACACAAATACACAAATTATTCAGACAATTTTCTTTTCCCGCAAACTTTGTAGAGCTTTTCTCACTGATCATTTTCGTATAAGGAAGTTTTGGATTCTATTGACGAATGACGAAGCTATGGTCAAAATAAAAAACAAATTAAAATAGCTTAAAATCCCATTTTTCCTTATAAAATATGGGAAAAAGTCGAGTCTCTAATCTCGAGCCGACTGTATTCCGAAGACATATGGCCGATTCGAGATTAAAGACACGGCTTTTTCCTATACTTTATAAGGAAAAAAATGGGTTTTTACTATGTTTTTTATTTTGACGATAGCGTCGTCATTTCTCGATAGAACCCAAAACTTCCTTATACGAAAATGATCAGTAAAAAAAGCCCTATAAAGTTTGAGGGAAAACAAAATTTTCTGAATAATTTGTGTATTTTATGTTTGACATTCCGTGGAACTATCTAGTATCCGACTTAGGTACTCCCCCCATGGAAATCGCTGAGAAAAAATGGATCAGATCTAGACAAACGGATATCAGATTCATGATCTAGGTGACAAGGACTTTCGTATTATGACATTTCTAGCGTGCATTAATATTAATGATTTTCGATCACCCCCGTTAAAAGTTATATGACATACCATAATTACAGGACTTTTGATTAAACTTAAACAATATTTGTATACTTGACGAAATGAATTATTTTTTAAGGCTTCTGATAATGATTTTGGATCAGTCTAAAATGATAAAAATCAATATTTGATATTTTTATTAATATTTAATTGTTATTTACGATTGCTATCGGTGAATCATAAAAGAAACAGAGTGTTAAAAGTATTACTACTATCCATAAAACTGCCATCAATAAACCAGGAGCATTATACATTGTAACTTGAAGACCAAATAATTTAAAATGTAATTGCTTAATAAAAATTGTAAAACATGGACCAAAAAAAAGTCCTACTTGACGGCAACCTGGGAGAACAAAAAAAAGATTTTCATACTTCTATACTTGTTTAGTTTCAGTTTTTACCAAGTATTTTTGCAAAAAGTGGTGTTCGTGTTTCTGGTGTTGACCGTCTTGTAAGTTCAGCTAATAATGGTGGCTAAACGAAAAGAATTTATTAACAAATCAATTCTTTTCTTTCCTCTTACAACTAAACCCATACCAATACCAGCAATCAATCGAGAAATAACAACAACATAAATATTAATACCAATAAAATAAAGTATATTGCCAATTATTATAAATACAGTTCCGCATAGTACAAGTTTTTTTAATGAAACACCAATATCATCAAGAAATCCAAATAAAATACCAGCTATTGAACCTGATAATGCGAATACGGATAAAAGAATACCCACTACAAATCCACCATAATGATTATGCATAAACATATTGACATATCCCCAAGCTGTAGGTAAAATAATCGCATAATCAATACCTAAAGGAAAAAAAATTAAATCATTCAATTTTTTTTTCAAAAATATTTTACCAGTTAAAAGAGAAATAAAAGCAATAACTAATAATGTTGTTATTCGTTGTCGACGTTGTGTTGGTGTTAATGAATTTAAATATTCTTCAGAAGTTTGATTAAGTCTTTTACGATTATCAGAATCTTTTCCTAACGATGGAGATTGTTGTTGTAAATAGTTTTGCATATCATTATCCTTTTTTTCTAAATTCTCTTGATTATCCATAGGAACTGTATTTCTAATAAATCAAATAGAATAATATCTAAACAAAGAAAAAAAACAAAACGTAGATTAATATGCGTTTTTTTCGTTCGTTATTATTCGCTTCACCGACATGCATTATAAACATAATTATGAAAGACAATATCCTTTTATTTTTACCTAAAGTGTTTAATACAGCAAGTAAGACAAAAAGGTTAAGAGCAAATTTTGAATTTGTTTCAATATCAATCACCGTTATCGTTTATACCTATTTCTAGATCATACAACAAGCGAGACTGTTTCGTTGTTTTTTCGATTCTTCATTCACTACAAGTATACGGTGGATATCAGGGACCCGAAAAAAAACCTCTTTTTTTTCTTCTCATAATTATAACCATCATATATGTGTATGGTACATAAGAGCGATAAATAAAAAGCGCATGTGTATACTTACGAATGACGAACGCCTTCAGGTTATAGAAAAGAAGAAAAAAAGTAAGAGAAAACAATCACGCTCACTCTACATGAATAATAATAGTAAAAGCGTATAATCCAATGCATCGTTTTGATAGAACAAAAAGAAAAGTATTCTCATTTCCAATTTATTTAATGGTTCAAATATATATATAGAGAGAGAGGAAGAAAAACTATTTCTTACCATTAAAAGAATGAGTGACAGATGAAACAATAATGCTTTCTATTTTATTATCGTTCTTCAAACTATTGGAAATGAGTAGTCATAAATGTTGACAGAACTAATACTTCAAAATAATGAATATATGAGCAGTTGTACTGATTATTTTTTATCTGAATCAATGAATAAATGTGTATTCGAAGCAATCATTTTTACGCATCAATGACTGTCCTATTTCTTGATTTCATCAAATCAAAACCCTTACATTACAATTAGGACTTAGACACGACAAAAATATGTTATATTCATGCTTAACTGCCTCTGCATGAAAATAGTCGACAATATAAATTTTGTTCTTGCCTTTTTTAAAACAAAATAGACATTTGATGTACATCATATACAAGCTTTATATGGATTAGACAGCGAAAAAGATATTTATTTTAGGCGGTTTTTCATATGAATTTATAATATGACATTTACTATGAAAAGCAAATATATATATATTTAACAAGAACTATACACATGCATTATTACTTAATGATTGAATGAGAAAAATTTATAAAATACATATTAGAAACATAAATAGCTGAGTATAGAAAAAATTATGTTTGTGTATCGATTGCGAACGAGCGGTAAAAAAAACAACGAACAGTCATTTGATATGTTCGAAGAAAATGAAATATTTTGTCAATAATAATGATATTATTAATATATTCTAACATGTAGGCGTTATGGTTTTATATATATACCTGAATATCAAAAGTTGTAGACAATCTATTTTGGATGGAAATATTCGATTAAGAAAAATTATGAGTTTATCTACAAAACCATTTCTTACTGCAAGTTTCTCATATAAATTCGATCTCGTATCTCACTAAAAAAATGCTGATAAAATCTTTGAATTTTTATGAAAACGTTGAAATATTGATAATGTATGAAAGTTACATCATATAAAAGTTGAATAGTTATGTCAAATATTGATTATTGAGAAGTCGAGAATGTAAAATAAGATACAAAATACTTTCACCTTGTATATCATCAGTTTTGAATTGTTTATTAATATTTTTAGTTTGTAAGACAGATGAAAGCCAATTTGAAATAATTGATAATAATATGAAAATTTTGCTTCGATTATTAATGCGATGCGAAGCGAAGCATTTATGTAGTCTTTCGCCAGTTTTCTTGCTTTCTCGATGTACACATTCAGAATTGTCATTTTGTGTTACGATTATCTCATAAAAATAAAAATTATGTGACAATATCTTTAAATGCCAATGAGTTATTTTCCAGTTTGAGAAATTTGAGAAAAGAATGTTTTATTTAGAATGTTGCTAATGAAAAGTTCAATATATCATATAATAATTTTATATAGTTAACTTATTCGTTGCACATTATATTTTTTTTTTCGTTTAATATTAAACAAAAATACAGATGTTACATACAAAGAATATCTATGTTTATACAAGTACATTAAATTTTTACTATTGCCATTCAAAATTTAAAAGTATATTTTACAGATAGTTTCACAAATTATAAACAGTTAAATTCTTTATGCAAATGCTGCATAATATAATATTATGTGATCGTTTTCAGAAATAAATTTTAGTTGAATATAAGCTACTTCCAAAGGTAACACAAACATATTGATAATTAAAAAAAATGAACTTTGACTCAATATAAAATTTCAAAATGTACACGATCAACTTGTTTTTTGTATTTCCTTCAATAGATCTATCTCATCTGTATACAGATACTTGTTAATACTTTTTGTAAGACGAACAATCATTTGTGCAATTGACAAGTAAAAATAAATATGCGAATATCTACTACAGAAGTTTTTAACATAATCAAGAAGATGTAAGGCTTTACAAAAGTTTATACCTGATCATTATTCAGTGGCAAGTAGGTGAGAATGGTCATTTAGATGATTGCATTATAGTTGATTTATGTATTTCAAATATCTGATTAGTACGGAAACGAACAACACGCAAAGAATGACTTCTTTATGAATTTTATTCATTTTAAAACTATATCAATACTGGATTGTTTTTGATTCACCTGAATGTGCATATTTGTTGATCTTTCACATTTTTGATAACCTTATCTTAGTCATAGAACATGCATACACGTAGTTTTTGGACTCATGAGAATAAAAAGAAGACAAAAAAACAATCGAAAGAAAATTCTTACACTATAAAATCATACGTTGTTCTTATTCATTTATAAACATTTCTTCTTGAAGTAATCTATATTGATATCATTACAACAAACAATGGCGAACAATAAATCAATAACATTTGTTCAATCCAATACACAAGCTAATGCTAAGCATGTATCAAACTTTTCTGAGGATACAGTTACAAATCGACGTATTGACATGCAAAGAATGCAAAATGTCCTCCTTATCTGGTTGAACAACAATATTAATGTAAATAATGCTGATTGTGGTAATACAATCAAATAACTGAAACGCGTAGTTAACAACATAGACACGTTTACAGATGGTGAGGAATGTGTTGAATTTATTCAAACCATCACCAACAACAAATTATGTATGATTGTTTCTGGTTCACTTGGGAAACATATTGTGCCTCATGTGCATGATATGTTCCAAGTAGATACCATTTTTATTTTTTGTAGCAACCGAGAATGGCATAAACAATGGGCCAAAGATTGGCCTAAAATAAAGGGGGTCTTGACAGATATAGCATCAATTTGTGAAGCTCTTAAACAAACTGTTCATCAATGTGAACAAAATGCGATCTCAATCAGCTTTGTAGCCTCAAACAAGAAATTGGATCAATTAGATCCATCTTTTATGTATACTCAGATCTTGAAAGAGATCTTATTAACCATCAACTTTGAAGATAAATATATTAAAGAATTTATTACTTATTGTCGCGAAGCATTTGACGAAAACGAGTATGATTTACATAATATTGAAAAATTGGAACGTGACTATCATAATCAAAGACCTATTTGGTGGTATACTTATCAATGTCTTTTATATTCGATGCTGAATCAAGCATTAAGATTAATGGATGTTGATATTATTGTTCGAATGGGCTTCTTTCTTAATGATCTACATCGTGATATTCAACGACTTCATTCGGAACAATTTGATGGTCATCAATCTGGTAAAACATTTACAGTTTATCGTGGACAATCTCTTTCAAAAGAAGGTTTCACTGGAATGACAAATACTAAAGGTGGACTCCTTTCATTTAATAACTTTCTGTCAACTAGTAAAAATCGTGATGTTTCTCTCTTTTTCGCACCACAAGCTACTGCAAATCCTGATCTTATTGGAATTCTGTTTGTTATATCAATTAATCCAACGGATTCAACAACCCCATTTGCTTCTGTTACAGATGTCAGTTATTTCCATACAGAAGATGAAGTTCTCTTCTCCATGCATACCATTTTTCGCATTGGAGATATTAAATCAATGGATGAAAATAATCACCTCTATCAAGTAAACCTAATATTGACCAATGAAACCGATCAAGATCTTCGAACTCTTAGCAATCAGATCCGCCAAGAGACCTTCCCAGATGAAGAAGGATGGTATAGATTAGGATTATTACTGATTAAAATGGGTCAGTTTACCAAAGCTCAAGAAATTTATAGATATTTACTTCATCAAGCAACAAATGAGAGTGACAAAGCAAATATTTATCATCAACTAGGTCGAATCAAACGTAATCAAGGAGAATATCAAGAAGCACTTTCTTATTGTGAAAAATCATTTGCTATCTATGAAAAAACACTTCCTTCTATTCATCCTGATTTAGCTTTACTCTACACGGGTATCGGCAATGTGTACGACCATATGGGTGACTATCCAAAAGCACTTTCATCTCATGAAAAAGCCCTTGCAATTCGACAATCATTTCCTTCCAATCATCTTGACTTGGGTACTTCCTATAACAACATGGGTAGCACGTATTACTACATGGGTGATTATCCAAAAGCACTTTCTTACTATGAAAAAGCCGTTGTAATTCGAGAGCAATCACTTCCTTCCAATCATCCTGATTTGGCTTCTTCCTACATGGGCATCGGTATTACGTATTGCGGCATGGGTGATTATCCAAAAGCACTTTCGTCGCATGAAAAAGCACTTGCAATCAAACAACAATCACTTCCTTCCAATCATCCTAGTTTGGGTAGTTCCTATAACAACATCGGTTTGTTGTATGAAAATATGAGCAACTATGCAGAAGCGCATTCATTTTATGAACGTGCTGTACAAAATGGACAACAATCATTACCATTATATCATCCAACTGTTCAAAAACGGAGAGAAAACCTAGAACGCATGAAAAAGAAATTATAGTTTATTTCTGTATTTTTTTTTTTGAAAGTAAAACAAAACTAATGAAAAAGAAAATGTGTCTCTATTGAAACTCTGTTCCTGTTGAGAAAACAGTATGTACAGTAACACTCATCGGTAAGGTAAACAATATATATTATAGAGAAGACCTTCATAGTTACATTATTATGTCTGAAAAAGTAGAGTTTCGTTATGATAGATAAGAAAGAAAGATACTCAACAGAAGCATCGAAGAATAGAAGGAGAGAAAAGGTTATTTTATCAATAGAATGCATTATTCTTTCTGTTCCAATATTAAAGAATAGTTCATATCGTTGATAAACTTGAGGATGTGGGTGAAAGGTTAGTACCTACACCCACACCCTCATGATCGGGCTGAGACTAACCGAGATCGAAAGGTTCGGGCTCGATACACCCCTATAATTCTTACTGTTGCTCACTGTTAAAATACTCGAAATTTATAATTTTTATTTTTAATATTATAAAAAAAAAATTCCGAAATACAAATGTAAAAATTCCTAAATAAATGTAATTTTGCATAATAATTCACTATGAGCTCATTTAAGTAACTGTTGCATCAATTAGTATTTGTATTTGTGCTTTCAATTCATCAATTGATTGATTTACTTTTGCTAAATCATCTTGTACTAGTCGAATATCACTATTTGAATTATTTGAATCATTTGCATTATCATTTGTATCATCTTTGTTTTCATTACTAGTAGAATCTGATCCACTCGTTGATCTGTATAAAATAAAATTTTCATGAAATATTTTCTTCGCTTTTTCTTCTCTCTTTAACTTACACTGTTGATGTTGTTGTTAATGATTTTGCTTCTATATGTGCATATTCATATGTTGATGCACCTTCAAATTCATACCATTCTTTTATACGATTTTTATTGATTGGAATCATTTCTTAATAATAATAATGATAATAAATTTTCGAAAAATAAAATTCATTGATTTCAACTTACTAAATACTGTTGCTTTACCATCTGCTGGTTTTTTAAAACATCTTCGTCTTACAGCATAAAACGCTATGCGACATAAACCATAAATATCATAAAAAAGACTTATAGGTGGTAAAAATGGTGAACGTGTATAATATTCTCGTGTGAATAAATATTGTTGAGAATGCCAAATATTTTTTGTATCATCATAAACTTGATCAAATCGTTTACTTAAAAATATTAATCGATAGATAAAAAATTTTTTTATTATATTAAATACTTACCTAAACATAGCAATTAGAAGATTAGTAAGTAATATATTCACAAAAAGCATATGAATAGCAAGTAATACATGCGTAGCAATTGACCATGCAGCATCGACATCGACTATTTGAAAAATATATTATACATTTGAATTCAGTTTTATATAAAACATCTTATGTACAAGACTAATATATACATATGATTTACTTACCGTCAAGATTATCGAGTTCCTTGCCAAATTCTCCATACATTAAATAATATACTGGATATACAATTTGACGAAAAATACTTCTACCATCAAACGATATATCTGTACTAGTCTCATTGAATAAATTTGCATTTGGATAATAAACCATTGAACGAGAAGCAACACCATAACCAGCCATAACAATAGCAATTATACACAGAAAGAATAAAAGATCTTTAAGCTAGAGAAAATAAAACTTTTTTATTTATATTTAAAAAAAAATTATATGTGTACCATCTTTCCAATAGCCACCAAATGAGGTCCAAGAGATGGTACAACAATAATAAATGCTAAAGAGCGAAGCCACCAAAGTTCAACATCAACAGCCCATACTACCCTGAATAAATCAACAGTGGGTGGATGAGAAGAATATCCACATCCACAAAAATAGCGTACCTAGCTGAGACAAATTCATACTCATCACCTGCATGAGTAAATCGTAGAATTAATCCAATATAAAAAAGTACAAATCCAACAAGAGTCATAATTTTAAATAAGTTCCCAAAATAACTTTTGAATTTCCCAGATAATTTCCTACTATCTAGGCTAGCAAACTATAGTAATAAGAATAAAAGAAAATTCTATATATCTCTTTCTATAGATTTGATTATCTTACATAGTGAATTTCTTCAATTAACATACTTGAAACAAGTATAATTGTTAGAATTTCAGTCCAATGAATAGACGGTATTGAAGAAGTTGGTGGTTGAAAATTAAATAAAAGTACATAAGAAAAAAGCAGTAGGAAAAAACAATAATTTAACTAAAAAGAAGTTATATAAATTTTATCTCAAATGACAATATGTATACATACACAATGATAACAATATTTCATACGTAAAGCTTGATGGAAATTTTTTATACGATGCAGATAATTATTTATTGGAAGAATTTTAGTATAACGAGGAAATGCAATCGGATATGGATCGGAATAATGTATACCATAAGGTTGCAAACTAAATATAGTATAATATTTTTATACTGAAATTTTTAATCAGGAATACGTACGATCGTTCAGGTTCTTCATTGTTTACTATCTAAATAAAATGAAAATAAAATCTTGTTAATACTACTGATGATAATCGGTGATAAATTTTGCTCTTATTCAGGACTAGTAGATTTCCTTTTTAGTCAAGCAAGATTTTATATCTATCTATTATTGTAAAGATTGAAATAATAACAAAATTCTAACCCGTGGAGGATCTCGATAAGTGACACAAAATGGTGCCAGAAGACCGAGTGAAAGAACTCCAATAGACATTGCTATTTCACTTCGTTTATTTGATTGTTTGGGATGAATATTATTATACCATATATTATTCATAGCTTGAACACAACATGGAGTCGCAATAAATAGTTTATCTTTTGCATCAGCAGCAACCTTAAATATATAAATTTTCAAAGAAAAACAAAACTATTTAATATACTTGAAGACAAGTCACATTTCCATATAGTTCTATTCGTTGTAAAACAATTTGACATGCTTGATCAGTATTATATTTTTCACATTGTTTAATACATGCAATAGCATATTCTTCAAAATATTTTGCATTTTTCTCGTAACTATCTTTTAAATCACCATATGAAGCTGTACGGAAGTATTGTTTTAATATTTTTGTTGCAATCAATGCAGCACATATTCGATATTTCATATGACTCAGAAGGACTTGAGCCATTTCAGTATGATTCATAAGTATTGCCCATATAAATAAATCTCGCATTATATAATCAAAAACTATTTCTTTATTTGTTTTATCGTGTGGGTCAAAATTTCGAGGATTTGTTTGAATTTGTACCATTAAACCCCATGATGAGCGATATTCAGCCTCATTCTCATTTGAATTAAAGTATAATTTATTCATATAATCACCAATCAATGTAGCAAGAACATCATTTAGCTCATCAATTGTACGAATGTTTTTTCCAACAACATCGTCCGATTCAATAAATGCACTTAATTGAGTTGTATCACTATTCTATAAATATGTAACACATTCATATCTTTTTTAATTTATAAATATATATTACCACAGCTTCATTATTGTACAAACGTTGAAGAAATTTTTTATATCGATTTTTTGAGCGAAAGAATGTATCATTTTCAAAGAATATTTTACCTAGATCAATACCCAATTTAATAAATTCATAAACAAATTCTGGTAAATCTCGTGTTAAAGCATTCAAAAAAGCTTCTTCTTTATTCTAAACAAAAGAAATAACATCATCGATACAATAGTATTCTTATTCTTACTAGAATATTATCTAATGAATTTTGAAGAATTAATTCTTTTGCAACATCAATACAATCCCAATCCATAGCTAATTGTAATAACTGGGATCGTTGTGCATTTTGATCTCTTCTATTAACATTTTGTCGTGAATCTGAATGATGTTGTTTAACATGTGGAGTTTGTGATGGTTTAGATTTTCGATGAAGTATTTCTATTGCATCATTTTGTTCACTTTCTTTTCTTTCAAAATATTTTTGACGTGCTAAAACAAATCAAATTAACGAAAAGAAAATCTTGCATCATACAATTCACTTACATTTACAAACAGTACGAAAAATTGTCTCGGATAAATTATCCCCTGAATTTAAATTAAATACAGCTATACCAGAACGAACAGCAGGTTGAAGACAATACATAACTTGTCGAAGTGTTGCATCTAAATGATTTGATTTTGCACCTTTTGAATTATTGTTGTTTGATGTAGGACCTGTCTTCTTTCGTTTACTAGATTCATCATTATGTGATATAAGTAGATCAAGATCTTTTCTAAGTCGTTCATCATATTTTTCAAATAATCCTTTAAGCCTGCACAAAAGAAATTATACAAATAATTTTAGAAAATGAAATAAACATTTATTTACGTATTGCGAGATGCATCAAGTTGAAGTTCAGAATATGTATGAGTACTAAAAAGATTACGTAATGAAATACAAAAACAATTCAATTTTTACCTTATTCTTGAACTACGTGGATTATTATTTGTCGGTGAAAAAGTTGTAACTGGAGTTATTTTATCAATTTCACCAATTTCATATGGATATTGAGGATATTTACTAGCCTCATCAAATTCTTTTGTATATAATAACCAACGTTTGAAAAAGTCAGCAACACGACCACTACCCTATTTAGATTATATTACAATTGTACAGAAGATTTTTGTTTGTTTTACTTACATCAATAATAACAACAGGGATATTCTCACGTAAATCATAATATATATTTGTTATGGTATCTCTGCCACCTTCAACCACAATAGTAACAACAGGAACTATAAATAGAGACAAAACAGTGAAGAATTAACAAAATCTTTGGTGGCATTCAATTTCGAGAATAAAAGTAAAGTATTCATAAACTTACGAGGAAAATCAGTTTCATGTTGTAACTTTGCTAGGTGAACACATAATTGTGTTCGGTAATCTTTTATATCATAGAATCGAAATCTTCCATCATCTAACATTAAATAATGACTATGATTCATTTCTAGATCACGTTGACCACTTTCACGTTTTTTTTCTGTACTATCATCCGACTCTTTATTACGTTTGTCCGTTTGTTTCTTAATAAAAATTAAATTTTTAAAATTATGAATTATTTTTCAAAACAAATCAAACCTGATTATTTTCCTTATCTGACCCTGTAATAGTTTCTACATCTTTTATACTTCCCCATTTACAAACTCCAATAGCTGTAATATGTTGATCTAATTTTGTTAATTTAACTTTATTAATTGCTTGTCCAACAAGTTGAACAATACCAACATTATATCCATTTGTAATTAACCATGCATCTATATTCGAAAAGAAATAAAGAAAAGTAAAAATTTATAATCGTTTTTTTACCGGATTTAAGTGCAACTTCGATAATACCATTAATAAAATTTGTTTCAAGTCGATCACTTAATGTAAAATATTTTGCACCTCCAATAATTGACATAATTAATCGAGGTTGTGGAATCTTCCATACATCAAAAAGAAGTTTTCCAACTTTTGCTACCGATGTATCCAAAGCAAGTCGCAAAAACTATACATATGTACATGATTATTAACTTAATAAATATAAAAATTTTAATCATACCAATGCACCATTCGGAAGTATACCGTGAGCAGGCTCTATTTTTTCCTTAGTATTTTGCTCCATAGTCCATACAGCATCTTTTGATTTAGAATCACTTTTATCTTTATGACTTGTTAATGAATTGTTACATATACAAATATCTTGTTCCTCATCACTAATAGTTAACAAAACAATAAAATAAAATTTTTCATTATTTTCTAAATCAAGAAAAAAAAATACCTTTTTCGGGCGAATTTGAAACATACACGATAACGAATATTTAGTTCGTTAAAAATATCTGCTGGAGATTTTTCTTTATTTATCTAAATAAAAGAACAGATTTCATTGAATTTTTTATTATAAATAAAAAGAATTTTAATTATACCGGTTCTAATTTAAATGATCGATTCTTACTCATTATCAATGAAATTGTCAATATAAGAATTTTCGTTTTTTTATATCGTTTTGTTTCAATATCTATATACAAATGTGATTTATATAGTAACCCGACGCTATATTCTTCGTTACCGTGAGAACAGATACAAAGAAAGAGTTAAATATGAGTCAATAAAAAAAGGTTTTAAAGATAACGAAAAAACAAAATTCTCTTTTTTAGTGTTCTGTT